GGCCGTTTCAATGTTATAGAAAGGTTCAAAATTTAATAAAATACCAGATAGAATTAGGCGTTCTCCTGCGTTGATTTAAAACTCCGACCTCAATTTACCACGAAAGCTTGTTTGTTATCTGTATACTGAACCATCCCCAAATGATACATTTTCTATTAATATTGAGATGGTAAATTGTAAGGTTGTTTTTGGTAGTCATGTTCCTTGTATAGATTTCCGAAGTGAACAAAAAATTATGATAATATATACAATTTAAACATACTCTCCGATTTTGAATATTTTTAGTCGGCATTTCTAAATGCAGCATTTCTAAACACTCAAATTCCAATTAATTAGCCCATTAGTAATTACCACTCCGTGGTCCATTTACCCTTTCACTTGATTCATTTTCGATTTTTAAATGGCCCAGTAAACACTTCTGTTGAAGTGTTTCTTGGAGGTCTATTATCGTATCATAACTTACAATGATCGGAGATTAGAATGAAACCATTTCAAGTGACAATGACTTGTGCATTATCGCAATCTTTTCTCTCACGCCTAATAGCGGTGTTCCCCTAGATAAATTTAACGTCGGTGTATGTCTTTGTCCAATTCTATGCTCTTACTTCTTTATTCTGATATTTATCGGCTACTTGGATATATATAAGCCTTATTACTCAACTAAAGTGGTGTATAACGTACGGGAATAATGAATGAAATAATCCAGGGGAACACTATTTCATTTGAAAGAACTATGTTTCACGATAGCGACAATTGACTAGTGTCATTTCTACTTCTATGATGTAACAAGTAAATTAACTACTGACAACGACGTAAAACGATAAGAAATGAAAGGAACTAACAATGAAAATGACACTGGACAGACCGCGATGATTTGGCATAAATAAAACTAGAAATAACAACAAAGTAACAAACATCATTATACGGAAATAGATTATCTATTCCGTCACAATGCTGGACCAACGGAAGCCATAAATTTAGGCTGCGAAAAAGCACTACTTCCAGTTTCAACGACTGGATAATTTTTACCAAGAGATCGATGAACTGTTCAGTGTTGGGTTAGAATTAAAAATAATTTGCTGGCATTCAACTAAAAACCTTCCAATCTCGCTTTAACTCAGATCGCTGAAAAGTTTATAAAAGATAAAAAAAAATACCATTAAAGTTATTTTTAAATCCCAATGTTTTATTCCATTTGCACCTATATTTAAACCCACGACAAAGCTGATAGCACACATCTTTATTTACGCCATTGCGTGAAATATAAAACTCGACCTCATCAGAAGATCTACTTATATATTCGTGATGGTAGCAAAGCTGAAATTTGCGACAACATGGTGTCGTTTTCACTTTCATCATATTTCAAAGCAATTATAGGCCTGAGAATTCCATATTGTAAAATACGGTAGTGAATAGAAGTCTGTCCATATATTAGAAATGCCAATTTTGTTATTGAAATTTTGGGATGTTTTTAAATTTGTGTGATAAAATGTGTGAAAGTGAATCACTCAATTTAGTCGTTTTGATTTTTGCTACAGTATTCTCGCGGCCAGTACATATGAACTCACTCAGGCGGAAATGAAGGACGAGTAGTTAATCTACTTCAATCAAATATGTAACATTTTCATCAAAAATATTGTCTTTGATTGGGTTCTTTGGCACTTGAGTTTACTTTTATATATTGCAATATAACGAAATATTATTTTCATAACTTGCCCATCCTACTCTAATGACAAATTGAATTTCCATATACTCATTTATTCTAGCAAGTATAAATTTGGCTATGGATGAGTGATATTACATAATACTGAAATAGATATATCGGTACTTTTGAAATTTGATTCACGTTCCCATAATCTAACTACTGTTACCTGCATGTCGGATAAGGTTCGTCAATTATTTGATATTTTCCCACTGTTGGAACAGTATATTAATCACACGTACTCTGATTTCGGCCTGTTTGACTGGTTGAATTTGAATCTGGTAAATTGAGTTGAATCATAACTGCAACTTTCAAATTATGAGGCAAAAATATGACCGTCTATAAATCATACATATTAGTCAAGTATTGGATGTCGTTGTATCTCGACGTATCTCAATCGAATAAAATATGTAGTTCATATATCTAGTGTTAATTGTATCGAAATGATGTTTGCTTATGCGTGCCCTAGAATTTCGAAGTCAACGCGTAATTTCCATCCTTAATTCGTCTGGAAAAAGTAACATAAATGACAAATCGTTAAATTTAGATATCACAGCATTTTTGAGCATATCGAAATATGTATTGTTGTTTTCAGACAACCTATTCTCTCTCTCTCATTCAGCGACAATTATTACTTCCGCCTCAAAATATGCGCAGCTGGGGCCTTATCTCTTTTTATGGCATGCCATTATGTGGACATAATTTGTGCCCGAAAACAAAAAGCTTTTTCGTTCAATCTCGGGTCACACAATATGTGGTGGGTGTCATATCTAGGTTAAACGCTACGACGAACAAATATTAAATATATTTCATCCGTGCTAGTTCTCCCTATTGTTGACCGCTCGTTCGCTAACTAATCGGGTTCTTTTGTTTATACAGTCTCTTTCTCGATTGTGTCGTGTGTATTCCATAGATAAGATTTGGTTTATTTGAGTTAATCTTTTTCAATTGTGTGTGCAATACAAAATTTAAAATGGGAGATGAAAATAATGTATCAATATACTAAATGTAATTTAATTAGGTCATTTTGTTCTGGTTCAAAAATAGTCACAAATTCATTCCATTTTTGATGAAATTAACAATATATTATCGACTGTTGAATAGGTATTACAGAATAATATTAACAAGTGAAATGCCCTAAATGTTGGAATTGAAATACTTGTAACATTGGTAACAATTACTGTTAAATTCTGGTTTACTTTGCGATATTTCACTCCTGACTAGGCCGCGTCAATTGTTTCGTTCGTTGTCGAATTGTGTCATCATTTCAAATAAAAGGGAGGGTCAAAAGGCTTTGTTTGAAACTTATTACATTGTTTTGTGTCATATGGAACATTGAACATATATTGAACGTCGTTCGTGCGCTATTTATTTATTTCCTACGAGCAAGCACACTCCACGTACGGTCGTCACCCCCATACAATAATGTAGTTTTGACAACGGTGGCTCTCGAGCACCGATTGTGATCCGAGTGGGCATTGTGGAAGTTTTTATTGTTCACCACGAGTGTCTTCGGCCAGCAAAACATAAAGCGCGGTATGGAGCCACTTAGAAATTCGTTACAATAAAATGAGATATTATTAGGCGTATTATTGTCGTCGCCTATAGCTTAACCATTGTTTTGAGTCGAATACCGCTGCGCAAAACTCATCGCTAACAAAGAAGGGAGGCTTTCGAGAGGCAACAAATTTATGCGAACCGAACAATAAACGTTACAAAGACAGCAGACGATATTCAAGCTGAATTAATATCCGGAATCGATTTTGCCATTATTATATCGACGCATGATTTGGCTGACTTGCGGATGTGTTTGATTCACCAGTCGCAGAAAAGTTGAATAAAATCGTACATGGCCTGGTTTATACGAAACATACAATGTACAACACTGCGTGGCCCTTTTGATCCTATATCAGTAAAGAATTATGAATGGAACCTAGTTTTTCTACTGTTCGGATTAGAATCTGCAGCACAAGTATTTCAAACGTAGCCACGGATTTCGAATAGAATATCTATTTGTTATCTTATGTAATGTGACAATGTAGCCCATGATTTCGATTTGATAGTAGATTACCAATGTCAATGATTCTCAATAAAGTTGATATATTTCAAGCTGTAAATTGTGAATTACGAGTAAGCTTTATTTAAGATTTATTCCAGTCACATACTGCATTTCATCCTGTGCATTGTGACCTTTGATTTTTTTTTAAATGATGGTTCATAATGACAATTGCGATTGGCGCAAATGAATGCGAAACCATACCACTAGATATCGTCTTGTTATTTACTAACACAATATATTCGAGGTGCGGTTTAAAATTGCGTTTCATTAAATTGGCCAAACCCAGGAAGGCGCGAAAATCTCATCATTTATCTTGTGAAATCAATGGACACCTGACGTATAACTCGTTTATGTGTGTATCGTTTGGACGAAATGTGCTCGTAAATAACGCGACATCGAGAGAGAACAAAAGCCGCCGCGATTTGAACAAAGAACCGAAAGCGAACGAACGAAAGAATCACGCAACAATATATGTATTATCAACCATAGATAAACGACCGCTCTCGTTCGTCCCTCTCAATTAATAACATTGTGTGATGTATACACAATGCTAATAACAAAAATATACAATTAACATTTTGAATTATTTTTTTTTCTAAAAAAATTCGCTGTTGACGTAATGTGTTGAAGATAAAATATTTCACGTTAATGATCAAATATCGGTGAATTTTCGTTATTTTTTTAAAGTATTGCCTTTATTTGCCATCCCACCACAATAATGACCAATTTGTTATTAGTGCGACGTGGTTGTCTCGGTTGTTCATTATGAAGGCGGTACATTAGCTTTAAAGGTCTGTCGATGTAAATATTCACTTCACTAGACGAACTCGCCATGTTTTGTCCATTTTATTATATTATTGTCTTGTGTGGTCATTCCATCTTCGATTCAATATTAAAAAATGACCTTACTTTAAATACAAAACAATTTTTTTTTATATGTTTTAACCTGGCGCCATTGTATAGCTAGCTAGCTGTCACTGAGTGTGTCAGAAGAAAAGAAGAGTGTGTCATTTTTGGCATAATTAATACATTTTTTTCTTCTCACGACATGCAGCTGAAATACACACTAATTTTACCCAGAAGAATGTAGGCGCTATCCACGCAATATTGTCGGGTTTTCTGTTACTTTGACGCTCAGTATCAGCATCTAGTGTCCAAATTCCAGTCCCACGTAATGGTATTAATCGTCCCATCATAAGCAATTATAGTCCAGTAACCCCAATATCTTTTCTATTGCAGGAGAAACCTCTTAACCTATCACAAAGAATAAAAGAAGAAAAGCAGAGAAATTCATCCCCACCACCTCTGATACAACAAACATCGAATAACAGATCTCCCGACCGAAATTTTGGTAAGCACAAAACTAGTATTTATTCAAAATTATAGTTGATTCTTATAATTGGAAACTATTCATGGCTTACTTCCAGAATTATAATATGTAGATATACTATGTTGTCTATACTGTCGTTGCCCGTTGATTGTAGTCTTGCTAAAACATCCTCTTTGGCCATGTTATAACCCGATTTTCACCTGAATTTCACACTTATCAATTTTTGTTTGTTCATTTTTCTAGGTGCTGATGACATGTCCCAAGCTTTACTTCGTGCTCACACTTTTAAGTCAACACTGGAATCTGAACGAGCATTCCAGATGATGCCGAGAGTTGACAGCGAAAAGGTAAGAATTTTTCTGGTGCTCAATAACTGACAACAAATTGTAAACATTTCTAGTACATTCTTGCTGGTGAAATTAAAAAAAAACTGCCTTGAATATGGATCATGAAAAACGCAAAAATAATTGGTATTTTAGGAATTTCAAAAAAGTTCTAAAGTTTTGGACTCAAATTAAAAATATTTTAATCTGTGCTATATAATGTGTAAACAAGTTTTCATCTGTTTTTATTACAGGCTTCCAGTATCTTACACAAGATGTTCCAACCAAATAATCATGGTGCAGAAATTCACAACTATCTTTTACAACAATCATCAAAACGTGAAAAAGGTTTGTTTCAATTTTTATAAATTACCTATATTTAAGGTTAAACAGTCGTTACCAAATGTTAAGAATATAATACATTTTGATATAAAAGAACAACCACAATTATGTTATTTGTATGTAACGGGTTAACTTAATTCAGAAGAGGCAAGAACAATTATCAATTGTCAGCAGCAAGTGGGAGTGACCGAATATAAACGCGTGCCACTTGTCAGATTGTGAATCTATACTGCTAAAAACATGATGATAATTTTCATGAATTTATGGGTATTATATGCTAACTACATTAAAAAGGGATATTTAATAAGCACGTAGTTTTTCAAAGTTATGGTTGGATTACAATATTACATAATTTTTTTGTCGTACAGGTTTCATATAATAACATATTCTATCTTTTTATCAGCTATGCCAGAAATTCCCGCAAACGAAGCAAGAACATATCGCGAAAAAAGGGATGTCCAACATATCAAACGACCGATGAATGCTTTCATGGTTTGGGCAAAAGACGAAAGAAGGAAAATTTTGCAAGCTTTTCCTGATATGCACAATTCAAACATCAGCAAAATTTTAGGTAGCTCAGATTTTATACCATAGCTATGCCTATACCATCATGTTATCACTATTGTAGGTTTATCTAATCATTTTGGAATATTCAAAATCGGGACTATATGTGAAAGAATTCGAGAATATACAAATATCCAACCTTTTGGATATGGGCATTTGAATATCAAATCTGTTTTGGTGACATGGATATTTAATATGCTTTTGTACCAATCCTTCTAAAACATCTATAAAACTTTCAATCTCTTTAAATTAAAGGAGCAAAATGGAAAGAAATGTCGAATCTAGAGAAGCAACCATACTATGAAGAGCAAGCTAGATTAAGCAAACTTCATCTTGAAAAGTATCCTGATTATAAATATAAACCAAGACCAAAACGAACATGCATTGTTGATGGCAAGAAACTTCGAATTTCAGAGTATAAGGTAAAAAATTCTGTTTTCCTTTTTTGTTTTCACCTTTTGAAAATATTCAAACCACTAGAACAGCAAGGCTCGAAATGAAAGCAAAAGAAACTCAATTTTACTGAATAGAATCCCTAGTATACTGGTCTATGAGAAATCTCAATAATAACTTAACAAATTGATACATGCCCATTACTTTAAATTTAACTAAATTTTACCTGCTTTCGACACAATTCATCGTCATTTCAGGCTAGAGACATTTAAAACCAATAATAAAAGATTTATGAATCTTCAAATGAACAATGAACTTGATTGGTTGTACACATCTTACGTAACTGCCCTCAAAATCACACCTGCTGTTAAATGGCTGCCCGATATGTCCTCTTCAGTGGAGGCAATTTATATGATGATTGGGACCATATAACCATCTCTACACCTATTACAGAATACTCAAATCTCTTTTTGGGTTTAAATATATATATTTTTATTTACAAATGACTTTAATTTGAACAACTTACTTATCATTTTCAAATTGCAGGCTCTCATGAGAATGCGAAGAACAGATATCAGAGGAAATGTCTTCCCTGCTTCATCTACGTCTCCATCGTCATCAAATCCATCTCCTACATCTAATAATCCATATTCATCACCCCCAACAATGGTTTCATCAGTTTACAATTATCCAACCAATAATGCTCAGGTAACAATTGCATGACTCTTATTGATGACTTATGTTTTGAAATGAGGAACAAAAATGTTGAAAACATATGAAATGAAAACACAAAATAATTTACAACATCTTAACCTAGATTTAGTTACATTACGTTTTAAAAGCTAATTTGGTTACATGGGGCAATCATATTTCGCAATATTCATATTTTTGATTTTTCGCCTTTTCTGCGATACTATCTCCTAAATACCTTTATTTTATTTTCAGTCTCACAATTCCATGCCAATGGCGGATTTGAGTCGTATGACGTCATCAGTTGGTTCCTTCAGAGACGAATTAAAAGACCAAGACAAACACGATCGTTGTAGCCCCGTCGATCACCAAGCAGAAGTTTGAAAAACCACTGAAAACTTTCGTCGAAATCGACAAAGATGACGTCAGGACCATTACGTGTAGAGATGACGTCATGCCGAATCCTATACACGAGAACATAAACTCGACATGCTAGGTGTAAGCCCTGCTAAGTTCCAAAAACCTAATCAACATTATAAACATCAAAACACAAAAACGATAAAGCAATTCACTGCCTTGGATTCGCTTGCAATGTATGTTCTGCAATCACAAAACGAACAAATTTCAAACTTTTCTTTGATCATGTAATATGGAAGAAGCCATATGTTGTCTAATATTTTATTTGGAATTTTTTTTATTTTTATGATATTATATTTTCCACTTATTTTAAACCAACGATTATTTTAATTCATAATCGAATGCACAGTGCGTTTAAAAACTTTAGTAAGCAAGTTAATAGCAGTGAGAACAAAATGTCATTATTGGACACAAATTGGCGTCCTACTTTAGTTGGATAGTCAAATTTTCAATCAAATTATAATTCCATTTATGTATTTTGTATTCATTTATGACAGCCTGAACCTTTTTCGGGAAGCAACAACATTTTATTGATATTTTCTCTTGTAATTGAAGTTCCGTGAAAATGTTACCATCATATTTGGGTGTATTAGCTGTATATATTTTTAATTATAAGACAGTCGTTTTTTTTATTAAAAATACGTATGAATTTCTCCTGTTTTCTAAAAATTCTTGAGAAATTTTTGTATTTTTTCGACAGATCTAAAAAAAAGACAACATGGGTGTGATAATAACATTATTGAAAATGAAAAAAATTGATGGCGCTTAACAAAATCCCCCTCCTCCCTTTTCAAATTTGCTGAATGCAAGCATCATACGCTATTTTGGCATTTTCATAACTTTCAAACAGTGATTGTTTTCGAAACTAATACTGCAATGTGGGCATTTCAATTATATATTTATATATATATATAAATATATTCAAATTGAAATCTCCTTGATATCATTTCAAACGTCATGACAACCTTTTACATGTTGATGCCATTGATTTTTTTTATTTTTGTTACAGTACTCATAATTGACTATTTAATTAAACTTGACCGTTTATGTCAATGATAAATATAAATGTACGGGTGTGCTAACTTACTTTTTATTCATCAAATTCACATTTTTAAATTATTTAAAAACACCATATTTTATGGAGATATCAATTTTCATGAGTGTCAATAAAATTTTGCTTTTTATTCGGTGAATTCGAAGTACGTCGTTTCAGAATGAGAAAATTCTGCCGAGAATTCTGATAAAATGATTATAAAAAATATTTTACACCTGTTCTGGCATTTCACTGTACTCCAAATTATGATGTTTTTGTGTTTTCCTGGGGTTAGGTAAGAATTGAAAAACTTGGTTTCCATCAGTTTTGATTTAATATCATTTTTATATATTTTGAGTTGAATTTGCCCTATTTTTGGTCAATAATCCACCGGTTTAGAGAATTATGTTATTTGCAAAAGATAGTACATTTAGTTAGACCCTATAAGCTGCCGTTTTCTGAAAGTATTTTCTTGCCGCGAAAATAAAATAATGTCTTTGGATAGCCATATGACTATTTTTTATAATCCTGCTGCCTATTTTTCATAACAATTCTGCTAAAATAGCCATAACAACAACAATGTTGCAATACTCAATACATTTATTATTGGATCTTTCTATATATACTACATGGCTGCATACTACAATTCTATCATAAAATGCTTCATTTTTTAATGCTGAACGTTTTGCTGCTTTTGGTCGCTGCTTTTTTTAACTTGTACTGTACATGAAATTCTTTTATTATTTGAAAATTTGACGTCAAGGCTCAAAAATGCTTTGCAATGAATGTAAAATTGATTCGTATTTACAATTTTGCTAGCAATCAAGGCGTATTCTTCTATATAAAACAGACAGATTTGTTCGATTTTTTGGTGCACCAATATATTTATAAACTATATTGGACAAGTACTGCTAGTTATTTGCATTAAAATTGCCAAGATTTCTAGGTAATTTATTTTGGCATCAACGACTATGTCCAGTTATAACGTTCAAGGAATTGTACTTTTCGTTGAAACCTTCATTCATTTAGGAATTACTTGTAATTTCATAACATTTTACTCATTATTTTAACAGTGCTTGCTCGAGATGAATATAACAATTTTGTTCCCTAACACATTTACGTACTACGTTATGGATGTCTAATTATTCCTTGTTATGTCAACTTTTATTTTAATTTTAACAAACCCACGATTTTCATTTCTTTATTTGTTTATTTTTCATATTCATTGTGCTGCACGCTTTATTTTTGTTTATGTATTGAATCAATCGTGCTTATCGTTTTCCAATTTGCTATGAAAAATAACGGAAAATTACTAATATTCGTGCCTACTCGTGGAATCTGTGGGTGCGGTCTTCTGCTGAAGTAATTCTCATGAAAAATGTCTTTTTGATTCTTAAAATGGAAACTAAATTTTTAAGAATATTTGTTTTCAGTACGGTCTTCCACGATTTATGAATTTAAACGTCATTTCCTTTTTTTATTTCTCAATTGAGCCACGAGAACAAAATGCAATAAAACATCAACACGTACATTGTTGTCGATTTTAGTTGATGGGTCTTACAACAACAATTTTATCGATTCAAAAATAGAATACAGAGTTTCAGACCTTGGAATTACATGATCACCAGCAACATAAACATTGGGTCGTTTCAACATATTCTAAAGAGAACATAACGTTTGATCTAAACGTCCTAGATTACTGGAATTCTGATATTCCTGTAGTATGTCAACCAAGATGGCGGACACCGGAACGTAGTATAGGTACCAGGTTAGGGTTAGGCCATAATTTTATTCCAATTTCCCTCACTTTAGTTCTATTACGAGTTCGAGGAATACCCGAGTGACTCCCGTAGTATTTTTGCCTGAAATTATGGCCTAACCCTAACTGAAATTTCTGGGTTCAATCATACACAAACAGAAATTCAATTGTTCAATAAATTTTCGTAGAAGTAAAAATGTAGGCTTCGGTCGAACTAGAATACACAGACCTGACGCTTTGGTTCACTTGTGATTTTTTCATTAATATTACTTCTATAATCTTATCATTTGTCACTATGAGTTTAGCAATGTTGACTTTAAATATAGTGAGATTGGTAGTGAATTTGGTACTTATTTATAACAATCGGGTATTACGACACGTTATTTTATGACCCTTTAGATAATCGTTGTTGCTGAGGTTGTACCGAATTCATGTTTTGATGCTGGGCTGTCGTTCGATCAGCAATATACTGCATGTTATATATTTAGATCCTGGTTGTATTAAATATAAATTAATTCAGTCAATTCTTCTTGATACAGAAGAGAGAGAAATTCATTATATCGCCAACCAGAAAAAAAAACGAGCATAGCAACAATAATAAAAATATACACGCGAAAAGTTTTTCGGTATAGACGATGATCAGAGTCTGCTCCCCGCAAGACAAACAAAATGATTTATACGTAGAGAATAACGAGTTTTAAGTATTTGTACGTGTGAAATTGATCATCAGTTGGTAGAGTAGGTGGGTCAGAAAATCAAATCTCTATGCTCTTTCGAATACAATGAAATTTTGCTTCTTTTATATGCAATCTAACTTTCGCTGTTAGATTTAAATTCCGAATTTGCTTTGAAAGAAGATATAAATTAAAAACAATATTTTGGTTTAAGACGTTTTCGTCTATAGCTTTACTACTTTTGTTAAAAGATGCCTTTTATTTGTTGGGAGGATACCGTTTATAGAGAACTGGAAGGTAGTGGAAACCAACAGTGGTAGTCGAATTTGATATTTTCAGGCTCTTTCATGGTGAAGATTTAAAGAAAGCTTTCCTATAACAAGAATGATGACGGATTAGTAGATATATATATATATATCTTACTCATGAAATATTTTAGCAGGCATAGTATAATATAACATAATGAATTTCTGAAAAGTTCCAAAATTTCAAAAATGTTCAATAGCACCGCTGGATCAAATATAACTTTACAAAATGAAAAGCGTTCAAAGAAAGGACACCAACGTCCGAGGCGCAATTAGGAACCAGAAAATATCTATCTACATGAATATATTTATATTTCTGTTAAACTGTCAAATCTGCAATCTCGTAAGTTCATGCGTTCACCATCGAAGAGTGAAAAACTTTGGTCGGTGCTAATTAAGTCTAAGTTTTTCGCCTGAGGAAACACCTAGGAAAAAGCTTATGGTGGAAACGAAATTGCGGCTTGTCATAATTATCCTTTTTTCTCGAATTAACTATAATATTAATTTTAAATGGATGGACAGAACTAAAAGTACAAAATATGTATGGATCTTCTCTGGAACCATATATATATAATATATAAAAAATAATGTTCAGTTTGATCATTCAGGTTGAATCCTAGAATTGATGTCACAAGTTTCAGGTAGGTAGACGGTTGAACCTCTGAGCTCATTGTTGCTTTGTGTCTAGCGTTCACAAAGCATTCACGAAAGCATTGCTAAAAAATTTTATCCAAAAATTGCCTTAGTAGCATCACGAAGTTGACTAAAAATATTTTTATAAAACAAACTGTTAATTTTTGAGTGATTTTTTTTAACGTGAAATTGAAAAACTTTTCCTTCGGATGAACGAAAAAAAAAAAAAATTGATAAAAATACCTGTCTGAAAGATTATAGAAGATGGGGTTTAGACATTCACTCGTTCGTAACACAATGTATGCAGTCAAAGCAAACATCCGTCCAGTTCTCGATGGAAAATTGAATTAAGCTTTGGTCGTGATAGTAAATCTGAACGATAAAAGAGTAATTGAAATTACTATATTAGGCAATAAACATTAAAAAACGAGAATATCGGTCAGAGACCGAAGACTTATCGATCGAATGTTAGGGGATCCCCCAGAACAGAAACTGCGTTTTCGATTCATCCGCTCTTACTCCACAGCGACACCGTGTGTCCCATCACTAATTAATTAATAACTAATTAAACGCTAAATATACGATATAATTCATCCAAAATCAATAAGCTTCTGGTCCGAGATATGATGAATGTACATGCAAAATTTGAAGCAGATTCAACCTCGCTTTCGTGAGATATCGCGTGCATTTAACAGACAAACAAACAAACAAACAGACAGACAAATACCTATCAACATGCTTACCGAATAAGATCGAAACGACCTTAAGGTTATCTATTGAAGATCGGTCGATGACTATTCAAAGAGCATTTTCGATTGATATATCTGTACTTTAAGTTGTCTTAGGCAAAAAAATATAGAGAATTAGTTACTCGGCTAATAAAGCCTAATACTTAATTTTTCATTTTTTCCATATCATTTTTCGATAAAAATTTCCTATTTGTTATCCGAGTCAAATATCATACAAGCCACCAGAGCATCGTACAAACGTAAAAACAATCAAATGTTGGACGAAATCAGCTAACAAAAAGAAACGTTGACCTACGTGAAATATTGTACTGGGGTTCCGTTCCACCTCAAATTTTCTAATTTAAAACATGCTACCATGCAGAATTGATCGATTTCGGCAGGCTCGTACCAGCGAACAGCGTCCGTTCATGAGCCTTGAAGATGGACTGTCGGTACGCTACCTTGTGTCTGAAATTTACGATTTTCTGTTGTGTTTTAGATAAGACTTGTAGAACTTTATACAACACTTTACCTGCACCGCCTGAATATCCAATAAGGAAGGAGAATACTATAAGAGTGGTTTGAATCAATGTAGCTTTCTGTTTATTATCTTGGCGTGAAACTGCTTGGCCGAGTGTAACTGAAATGTACAACAAAATATAACAAATACCCATTAATAACGTTCAGCATGAAGATAAAAACTGGGCATCTTTTGTATAAAGCCCCCGCCAGAAAATACACTGGCACCGCTTTATAATATTTTTATCAAATTTCACATATTTTGCATTAGTAGCGGGGCTCCAAACTGTTGAAATTTTCTAAATCAATCATAAATTCGAATCTCATCAATAACTTTTTCTAATCTTCAGTAAGATTTACTAAAGTTTAAAATGTATATATTTATTATAAATTGAGTAAAGTGTGTCATGAAAGACTTTCACATTTTCCACCATCTCGATAATGTCCGGAGATGATACTGATAAATATTACAATCGTACTCTTCGATTAAAGCATCCTGCTTCGTTTTTTTTTTTTTTTTGGTGACGACGAGGAATGAACGACCGCCTAAAAATGATACGCATGTTGTATGTATTGTATGCTCGTGTTTGATATAGCTGAATTATAAAACAGGTACTTACCTCGTTGCTTCCGTACTGATATGAGTTTAGTAATTATACAAATTGTACAGATGACAGTGCTGCCCATCGGAAGGAAGAGCATAATTGGAACAGCAAATCTCTGGAACAGTATTGTGATTTATTTAGCATTTCAAAGGAAAATCAGGCAGAAATGAGGAAGAAGAATTGACCTTTTGCTTTATTTGTTAGGCCTACATGTTTACAAACTTTAAGAGGCATAAAGTACACATTAACAATCACAAAATTGAGTTTAGTTACAGGCAACAATGTTTCTTCGAGTCAAAGCGCGTGAGTTTTTTCCCGGATAATTTGGCGCCTGACGCACAAAAAGTTTTAAGGTACCGCTGTCTTAGTGAATCCGTTCGTAAATAGGGGTTTAGTTCGAAGGTTTAGTTGTAAAAAGTAAATATTCATGCTTCCATTAATACTTTTACAATGATTGATCAAAACTTTAATCGATTGACAAATATCTATCGCAGGAGACTTTTCACAAAATGTCTCTGATTTGATATATTGGGTGAATTGAAACTGATATTATTTCCCTCTTTTTATTTTTCAATTTCTAGTCATGGCGTGCTTACCTTTTCACAAGTTCAATATTCCATTAAATACTTGAAGTACTCATAATACTGATACAAAAATACCGTTCCAATTCGAGTAGCAATGTTACCCAAATTACCAAAATATGAGCTCGAATTCATATCTGTTTGTCGACTAGTTCTGTTTAATAAAAACCTACCACGAGTACTTGACGAGTAGTTTGTGAATAATCAGTTCTCATGCTGTGTTATTAAATATGGGTGATGTCAGCTCAATCGTGTAATTCGACTACATGGTATCGGTATAAAAATGTTTTGTGGGGTTTCAATTTGAACTATCAACAATCATGTTATGATCAGGTTATAAATTATGAAAGCTATCAGATACATTGACGCAGGTCATGTTTATTCCACTTAACAGGTGAATTGAGTAGATATTGCATACTCATGAAATAGATATTTCGAATCGATGCGGGCATAATTTTGTTAATAACATAACAAATACATATTTTGTTAAATGTATCCATTGATTGATTCATGTAATAACAGTGTATTTAATTAGTATTAGTATGAACGATCGGTCATATAGAGTTAAAGTATAGGTTTTTAAAGCAGCAATGCATCTGTTATTTACGCTTTTCTATGCTGAAATCATTTTATATTTCATACCGACGGGTGTATTTATATTTCATTGCTTTTTATAATCAATATTTTATGATGGTGTGTGAATATACAGAGTGATTCCCCTCCCCCCCCCCAAAAAAAAATATTAACTTCGTTTGTGCTTGAAGTTCGGTTTGTGTATGATTATACCCAAAAGCTTTCGAAATTAAATCGCTTCGTACTTAGTTTTGTTTTCCCATTTATATCCTCTGTAAGGGCATTCAAAGGAAAAATTTCAAACAATTGGCGACCTAAGGCTACAATTACAGAATAAAAACGAAAAATCTACATAAAAGAGTATGAGCCAGTGATAATTTAGTGCAAGTATATTTTGGCAACATAACTCTATAACCTCATTTGATGTGTTATTAATCTTCACCTCGGAATAATGTTGTGAGAATCATGTTATTCATCAATATTTAAAATAAAATTGTAGAGGAAAAAAGAGAAGAGAACAAATTCGGGCAAGCATATCAGTTCTTAGTAAAATAAATGTCTGATTTCAAGACCTCGAATTAAATTAACTAATATCAATTCTTCATCAATTCAAAATGTTTTAGCTGATTTTGCGTATTGGCTTTTGTTGTCGTTGAGGTATCGATATTATACACTACCAACGGTGGTACGGTGCGCAATTTTTATGACGTCTTCACATAAAAAAATGAATCTTATAGAGGCCACAGAAATTTTCTATAAAAATAAAAATACTACCTTTCAGCGCAAAATAAAATCGTTGACCACTAACAATTTTAATCCAATTGGTCCAGTAGTTGAGGAATGGTGCAATTTTTTCATAACAATAAAAAGAAAAATACCAACAAGAACAACAGCAGCAAAAAAAAAAACGATTCATATGTACATTTAGTGTCCAAAAAGAACAACAAAACAACAAAACGATACCAAGGTGCACTTTGTTCAAAAAACACACACAAAATAAATTACACCTTATTCAATTAAATTACAATAATTGGCGATCCAAATTTCAGTAATTTCGTGATATCAATTTTAGCAGGATCATGAATTTATTTTTGGTTACATCATAAACAATCACATAGATATTAATGTGTTTGTGGTAAGCAGTATCGATACGAATAATAATATGATACACTTACGTTATTTTGTAGATTAGATGATATATGACCAATACCCACAGGTAAGTGCAGGAACAACCAGAGTTGCAGAATGAACATTTTCATAAGATTCCTACCCACTATTGGAAATGCAAGCTTTTTGAAAGAAAGATTGCTTTTTGAACATTGTGTATTATTGCATACATTCGAACATATAATAAATTGGCATAATATATATTAATTTAGATAACTGCAAAGTGAGAGAGCGGGATATACAAAAAAATGTTCCCTAAAATGGAAAGACTAGCAGACAATAACCAACTTCAACTTCAAAAACAAAGTATAGCCATCTTCAAATATACTCCTTCCCCTCCAGTCGCGAATAGAAAAACATTCGATTGATTTATATAACATCCCCATGAAGCAATATATTATATTATTGTTGTACGAAATAGCAAATAATAATGATCCGAAAATAGTGTTTCGAAATGAAGGTCTGGACACAAACTGCGTCAAAATTATTCACATATTTCTATACTGCTCAGATCCGAAATTTCAATCCGAAAAAATAATTATCGAGGTATACTAAAATATTGGTATCCGCGATCATAGGTCGGATGCTGTTTTTGCTACAAGCTACAGTTAATAAGTAAGAACGTAGTAATACAAGTTTTTACAGGTTCTGCTAAATATATTGCTGGAGTCGAAATTTGACGTTGTATGGTAGCATGGTAGCTCTTGGGTAACGAATCTATGTGGGTAGTGTGCGATACTTCTTTGAAGCGCCAGAAACTAAGATGATAAGTTAGGATTCCCGTAGAAAAATTATCTTCGAATGTCCATTTGAATCTGGTTGTAGTATATTGTTCTGAAAAAGCTCATCACGACTGGAATATCCCAATCAAACGACTAAAAATCATTCAAATACGGGAATTATTTTCAGAAAATTAGGCTTTTGCTGAGAGAGGATTGACACCATTCAAACATGGATACCACCGGTACATACGAAAGTGTGAACACTTTCGAAAGCAGTCTAGAATTCAATGGAAAAGATTTGTACAAGATTAGCTGGTATGTGTCACTATTCTCTTTAAATGAGACATTATAGGCATGGGAACAAAATTATATATAAGATTAATGTTGTTAGGTTTATATTTTCCTTGAATATTAATTTTTAGAGATGGTTGTCTTGTGGATGTGGGGTTAGATACAAGTACAATTTATTTTTTTTGCTGGTCTTTCTACACAAGCAATTGACCTAAAAGAAGTCAAATTTTATTTGTATTAATTATTATCTAATAAACTCCACTTTTATGAAATTTAAATTTCCAGGTATTCAACGGAGATATTTACTCCCACACAACGTATTATATTTTTTGCTGTATTTATCTTTTTGGGTGTGTTTGGAGTATTTGCAAACGGTGTTACCATTTTTGTGATCACGAAGAATAAGGAGCTTAAAAAGTGAGTTTTGACGAGTATTTGAGTTTCTTACAATCAATAGTTAGGGAAATGCCATAAGTTTACTATATTACCGGCTTACCATTTTCTAAAAGTTTTTGGTATAATGACTTACCGCACAAAATCCGCATAAATGCTACAATACAATCGACTATAGTACAGCCATACCCCCATCCTCCCACCAAAAACAACCCAGGTCATATGGAAAATATTCTAGAGAGAACATACATAACTTTTGTGCAAGGCGTCATAGATCGATGAAACTTTTTGGGTATTTACGAGAAAACAGAAGTGTTATTTTTTTATTTTCAAAATAGTAATTAAAAATTTATGGGTCCAGATTAAGATTTTTCGAGTCACTGCCCATACCGTCACAAATACAGAAGAATAAGCAGAAAGATTACGGATTTATTTACATAGGAACGGCTCATTTCATGTTACATGCCTTTTTAGTTATCTTTGAAAAAGCTAATTTCCATTTACCAGGATGTGATCCCTTGTCCGAGCAAGTTAACACAAACATTTATTTGAAGTTCTTTTTTTATGTGGCAAGAGAAGATTACTCATATGTTTTGGGCCTATTTTCTATGGTGTTTCTATTGAAAAAGGCTGTTTTCGATTTTTATTGTTTATCAGGTCTGCGTTCAACATTCTTCTAGTAAGTCTCTGCGTCTCCAATTTCATTTCTGCTTCTAATAGTTCTATTCAATCCTATCGTTTGTTATGGTCTTTGAGGACGTACACTGGACCGGAATTTTTTTGCAAGGTAAAAAATATTCACAGATGCACTTTTGGAGTTATTCATTTTGCAATTAGCTCTTTTTGATGAAGCAATATCATGTCACTGACAATTCTAAAATTTTGTGTTTGATCGGTTTTTCCCATCCAAAATAAATGTAATGATATTATAATAATATAAACACATATATACTATAAATAAATAGATGTATGATGAAATGGGTAGTGTCAAACACTTATATTCCAGTCATTAAGTTAGGCCCAGGTCGTATTGGTTGTAGTATTGACTTTATTTGTTATCATCCATGCAAATGAAAAACGCCTTACGTTTTAAAGATAATTTTGTGCAAGTTGATTTTGAATCAAATACCCGAGCCTCGGCTACAAGAGACAGCAGTATTCATCGAAGATTTACACATATAGCCGCATACAGCAAGTCAAAAGTATGTGAGAGCCGTATCATTTTTCTGCTAAAACAGAAAGGAGTCGTACACTAGCCATTTTAATTCCAGGGTTTTTATTGTATGGAACTTTTTTCTTCAGGGTGTTTAGCACGAGAAATATCCTCTGTTATTACAAAACTAGCTTCAGTTGTTGCATCAGATTCCTTGCCAATAGATATATATCATAAATTTCTGCCGTATTTTTAGTAAAAATTCACGTTTATTCACGTTTCATGGACATGGTGCCGACGTTACAACGATTTTCATACTAAAACATAATTTTTCTTTAATCTTTGATGAAAACTTTTTGTACCGCTTAATAAATTAAAATAAACTGTTACACTACAGTTTCTCTTATTTAGATTTGGACAACAATCAATGTTAGCCGAAAGCGAGCCGAATAAAATGTGGCCAGCGAGTCGCGGTTTGCCCGCCGTTGCTAAAGGCACATCCGCCTAACATCTTTGGGGTTGCTTCTTATAAAGTTTTATTCAAAATTATTGTAACAAGATGTTTCATCTTTTTTCCAGATAACTCATAGTTTTTGTATTTGGACCGAATACGTTACAGTTCAACATATCCTAATATTCAGCATTGTTCGTCTGTATGCGCTGAAATGTCCGATGCGTGTCAAGCGTGTGTTTACGGCGAGCATAGCAAAGGTATATCTATTTAATTTAATTTGATAAGGTTTTGATTTAATCAAAATTTGGGACAGAAAAATAATTAAATTTGTTTAAATCATAAACCTATCCTCATACGAATATTACTATCTATATATTTTCAGATTACGGCTGTTGTTATCTGGTGGGAAGTGTTTTTAGTAGCAGCAATATTTCGCTATATGTTTGCGGCTAATTATCCAGTACAACCAGATTTAGCTTTTTCGGGCTGCGTTCCAGTCGGACTTGAATGGTCATAATTGAGTGAAATTTACAATCCTATTTTTCTACATATATTTCTTGATTGAAGGATTTAATCAATTTCACAAACATACCTAAATCCTGATGTAATTCTTGATGCCAATAACTATTTTATAACTCTGATTTAGTAAAATAACCTATATATATGGCATAATATTATTGTGTCACCAGTTTAATACCAAATATTTTGGACATATACTTATTTCAATGTCCAATTGTGCTCGATAATTTGACTTTTCAGTCGAAATATTGTTTTCTGAAAACACAAAATCATTCAAAATTTAAAAGTAATTAAAACTTCAAATTTATTTTTTGCCATAAAGTACTTGCACCTGCAGTCTTTGAACTCCGATTTTTATGAATGAAAAAGGTTTGCAATTCTTGAAAATATTAAAAGTAATACCATGTCTGATTTTCCAGTTTAAAATCAGACGTAAAACTGTTTATTATGTTATATTTACGGGGGAAATTGAGATGTTGTATTTTGAATAAATATCAATAATCCGTGGATGCTGGGTTTAATTTCAGTTCGTAAACACTTCAGTATTGTTTACATAACACAGCATAATTTTCCCTGTCTCAAAAAAAAAATACATTTTGGAAACATTCTCATCCACTTCTCTGTAATCATCTAATATATTTTCACAGGATTGAAGCATTTCAACTACACAAGTATACAGTACCGTTCATGTTTTTCCTACCGATGTCCGGAATAATATGTTGTGCAGTGTGTGTTGCTGTCAAAATTTACAAAATGCGCCATTGTGATAGTTAGTAAATAGTCTTCTATATACATGGGATATATACATGGGGATATATACATAAAACATTTTTCTGTGACACGTCCTTAATATCCTATGGTCTTTGTCTTTCTCAATTTAATACTCTACAACTAATTTCAGTTTCAAGAACATCAAGTCCCGACAGAATAAGAAATGAAAACAAAGCTATCCTTCAGGTGTCGCTCATTGTTCTCTCGTTTCTACTGGGATACCTTGGGAACGCTGGTTGGTATTAAAACCTATCGCTTCAACACGAACATGTTAAGTGTGATTGATTAAATAAGAGAAATAATGAGATGTAGAAAGTTAATTCAGTCTCCTCATTTTCTTACTACGACATAAAAACATTAAGTATAAAGTCCTAATACAGGTAACGTACATTTGAAGCCGCATGACAATTTTGTTTAGTGTTTACAAGTCTTACTTATCTCACACGCGCTTTTGCGCTTTTTGGTAATGTTGTATTTTCAAGTATGTCGTCAATGAAATGGTATATGGACTTCGAATGGTAATCCTTGATAGGTTAATTTTATATCTTCCAAAAGCACATTGTAGAAACATATTCCGTAACAAGTATAGGTTAAGAAAACCCCAACGCACATAAAATTGGCCATAACTCTGTTCGTTTTCGGTCATTTTTGAAATGAATGATATAATGAAATCACACTGCTTAGGTTCAAACGACACTATTCTACTCTCTTCATAATACTTGGGGATTTACACATAGGGGGCACATATTTATCGGATTCTGGCATCGGTCGCTTATCTAGGCCTGATTGGGCGTATTTATCTAACATATAGATAAATTCTTTGAAATGGTGTAATTGAAGCCCAAGTTACGGGTATTGTATCTAATTCGATTATTACATTTAATTTTTAAGTGAACAGACTTCTTCTATCGATGCCCTTCTATTCTACGATTCCTCTTTCCTTAAGGACTTGGTTTATCTTTATCAGTTACCTGCTTCTAAGATTGAGTGAATGTCTAAATCCTGTTTTCTACTGCCTTGGTTCTGAGTAAGTAAATTTTTAATAGACTTGAAGTACGAAATAAGCTGACTGTAAACTGTTTAGCAAACAGTTTGAAACGATTAGATATTTGACCGTTTCAATCACACAAAATGAAGAGTTCTCTATTTGTCAATAAGCAACGCTAAACCAACGTACGTAAATGATTCATGTATATCAAAACGAGATGGACAGGCTTGTCCATGGGACAAATTTTTCTGTCCCATTCCCATCCCATCCCATAGTAATTATGACTGTCCCATCACCATCCCATCCAATGGGATTTCGATTGGAATAAAATTCAATAAAAAGTGTTAAATTTAGGTTTAGCGTCTACTAAATAGGACTACATGTACGAAGAGACATGCAAAACAACAAAATTCACGGTCTTTGTTAACTTTATATTCATAGCTAATATACATGTGTCCATCAGCCCCTTCACAAAGTATATTGTTAATGCTGAATATGTTTTGCTCTTTATAACTAACAAGAGGGCTATGCTCAAATATATGGACACGAAATCCATAACGAAATGCTTTACCATCATTTCCCCGAAAATCAAACGGTTTTTGTGTCCCACATATCCCATGAGAAATACAGATGTGTGCTGTCACATCTCATCCCACCCCATGGGACGTTTCCCGTGGACAAGCCTGGAAAAGGGATTATATATTCTTGACACCATTAAAACTAGTTAATACTTGATTTATTAGTACATTGATGAAGGCCACAAAGGAGATATTTTTCAAAAGAAAGCTTGACACAGTCGGGGGTGGAAACAGGAATCTACAACCTCCGAACAACATTTCAGTGTCAGTCTCCCGTACCAGAATATCCTTGACGTAAAATAAACAAACATTTCAAAAGCGACTAAATGTGATTGGCTGAATTGTGGAGTTCACACGGTGAAATTATGTCTATGATTAGTTTTTTTGTAAATGTGATCTCGATATGTTTTTGCCTGAACCACAATAATTTTTTCGGGTTTGTTATCTGTCATTAGTAACAATAATTAGAGTTTTTCGGGTCTGTTTTGAATACTAGAATTGCAGTTGTAAATATCGAATATTTATGATACGTTATGTAAAATATGAAAGTCTGAATTTTTATTTGCAAGTAAAATTACACAAATAATCACAAAATTGATTTATTGTCATTGTTTGTTTAAATAAAATTCACAGAGTGCTTTAATTACTGTGAGCATCCTCTCATCACTAATTCAATGAGCTAAGTCAGGGTGACCCAAGATTGCGAGGTTGGCGGGCCGCAAACAAACTTTGAGGATGTCTCGCGGGCCGCAGTCGGAGAGAACCCAAAATGGATTCAAACATCGCCAGTTTTCCACTTTACATATATATATTAGATATGAAAGTTTACCGTTTCATTCAATTTTTTAATTATATATATATAAAGCCTTTAGTCAGTGGCGTAGCCAGCCCAAAATTTTGGGGGGGGGGGGGGCAAATTTGAAAATTTTAGGAATTATATTGGGTTTAAAACACCCGTTCTTCAAGCGCAAAACAACAACAGTTGGTCAACAAGCAAACTGATTCAATTACTCAGCTGGATTTTTGTGAATACAAAATCCATTAATAAACAATTTTTTATTTGAAACAACAAATATTAACAACGCAATTTGAATAAGTAAAATACATCGCCCCGATTAAAAGTCCATCCTCCGCTTCCCGCTAACTATGCTCGACACAACTCGATTAATTTTCTCCTCGGTGACCATTTCACGGTGACAGTGAAGCACACACAAATCAGAAAGGCGATTGGACGTCATTGATGAGCGCAGCCATGTCTTTACCCGTTTCCTTCCGGAGAAAGACCGCTCAGCCTCAACGGTGGTTGCTGGTAGCGTCATAACGATCTGTATGGCGGTGTACACGCTTGGATAATCTCGAGCTCTCAGAAGAAGCCCCTCCAAAGATTCGATTTCAGAGTCATTGCGTTCTTCAGCGATAACGCTCTGAAGAGAGGATGTGAGGTTTTTTACTGACGGCACACTGACTCCGACCGCCAGAAGTGCGCGCGCTAGTGGCTCCATTAGTGCCGAATATCGACCAATCAAACATACGGCGTAGATAACCGACGACTTTTCTAGAGCAGATTTCAGAGAAAAAGCCTTCGCCCGCGTCTCACTGTTAGCAACCCTCGCCAAAGAATCAAGAGCCTCAAGTACTCGTTTGAAGTTGCATTTGAAGATTCGGATGCTCTTGTACTTCTCAGACCATCTGGTGGGGCAGAACAAAGGGATGTTAATTCCTAAACCCGCGCGCCTTTTAGGGCTCTCCCTGAAAAAACGAATAGTCTCACGAATGATATCACAGGTGCTTCTGATGATTGCAACTTTACTTTGGTCATTTATGACCAAATTCAAACAATGAGAAGCGCAGTGCACAAATATTGCGAGCGGGTATTTATCACGAATGCGTTTTTGCACACCGCTGACGTGACCTGCCATTGTCGTTGCACCATCATAGCCTTGCCCCACAAGTTTTTGCAAATCCACTCCTATACCAGAGAGGTGGGTCAAAATATTTGAGGAAATTGATTCGGCAGAAACAGAATCCATTTCCACTAATCCTGTGAAGCGCTCGCACACTTCACCACCTTTCACATACCTCAAAACGATGCTTAGTTGTTCTTTCCCAGAAATATCACATTATTCGTCGGCTATTACGGACACAAACGATTTATTAGCCTCCATAACGATATCTTGCACTATCATGTTGCTTGCTACCTTGAGAATTTCATTTTGTATCATCGGGCTTGTATACTTAGGGTTTCCGGCCATTCGAGCGAAATGCCTTTTCAAATCTTCATCCCCTGCGTCGATACGAAATAGAAGGTTCACAAAATTTCCACTATCCCCGGAATGTCCGCGCAAGGGTATGTTACCCGAAGCACAGAACATGACAGTCTTGACAATGGAAGTCATTATTCGTCTGTTTTCTTTTGTTTGCGTAGCATATTGGGCCTCCATGTTTGTACGCACATTTTGACCAGTTTCCATGCTTTTGACAAAATTTTTCGCAGCTATATTTGATTGTCGGTGGTAATTTGTGTCTCGATGGGCTACAGCCTTTTCCATAAATTTTTTGTAGTCAATGCATGGTCTTGTAACAAAGGCAGTGTCCCTGAGAGTTCCATGCTTCGAACGTGCTTGCATGACTATGCATATCTTACACAAACCACCCCCATCAGAGAGTTGGGTGTAAACTAACCAACTGCAAAATCTGTTATCGTCAAGCCATTTTTTGAGAAATTTACGACGACTTTGTCTAACAGTATCCAGAATCGTCACGTTTTTCGGACCATCCGAAGTTAGAAGCCTGTATCTCTCCGCATCGGTAAGCTGTGTATGTTTCTTAAGAATGAATCCAAGATCGTTTGTTTTCCCTTCGTTGATTATTAGTTCATCTTCGGGAATAGAAGTGATAGACGTAACTGACGTAACCGGTGCATCCACAGCCTGAGAAGCGCTTATTGATGTATTTGAGGAAAGCGAGTCTTTATTTCGCTGGAAAAAACTATCTAATTTTGCCTGTTTAAATTTAGCCATCGAAGTAATTTGGTCATCAAAATCCAAGCGTTTCGAATAAAAATCCGGCGAGAACAAATCAAGACCGAGTAACTGACCGAAAGCTTGCGAAACAGTCTTTCCCATACGGCTCATAAGAGCGAACGGTCAAGTCTTAGTGACGTAACAATGACAATCAGCAAGCGTGACGAGACAAGATGCCACAAAACTGGTGGATTAGGAATGGAATTCTTGAAAATTTTTGTTATCTAATTTTATTAGCATACTTGTAGCGTGAGAAGGCCTGGTGCTTTCGTCAAAAAACAACCAAGTCTGTCAAAGTTGGTGCTCCCGACCCAGCTAAAAAAAAATACTGGATCGCGTGGCGCTAAGTCATCTTTGTTCGTTACTTCTGTCACATGGCCAACGCTTGAAAATAGAGGAGTAATTTTACTAAAAGACACGAAACGTCTCCCCAAATGAGGAGTTACTTGACGCGAGCTTAAGATACGAAGTTTAGATAAAAAGCGCGACCCATCAGATCGGCTTGGTCCTGTTTGCACAAGACAATCCATTCTCCTTGTATCAATCACAGGACGTCTTTCTGATATTGGCACCGCACTGTTTCGACGTTCATTGATACAGCATTGAAATTCCGTGATTTTAACAAACCTGAATCCCGACATTGGAATCAGGAAAAGGGCTATTCTCAGTTGGAAAAGTTGAAACAAAACTCCAAAATGCTCTGCCAATAAAAAAAAAAATATTTGCCAATGATATAGTGCACACTAAAATTGATCTGCGGGTCGCATGCGGCTCGCGGGCTGCGGTTTGGACAACCCTGACTAAGTGTTTGTCCGAAAGGTGCAAACGGTATCTTTATATACCTGTATGATCATCTAAAAATAAAGTAAGTAAGTGCTTCCCAGCAAAAATACAGTCTTTAATCACTGAAAATTTCAAAGCAATCGTTCCAGTAAATAGAAAGAAAAGCGATTTTTCATAATAGCAAGAAAAAAAAATACAAAAAGAACATTTCCGACAAAGCCCTCATTTTTTTTCGTAAACCGTTTTGTAGAATAAATCAAATACATTTCTTTTTTGCCCAATACAAAACGCAATTTGCAGCTCACAAACGCACAAGGTGCAGCTAAACTACGAAGACTCACAAAATAGGAAAGTGGTGTAAATAAATTTTCTTCATTTCCTGGTCCAAGACAAAAATTCTTTTGCCAGATTGCAACTACAGCGCAATTTGCAGCTTGCGAACATCGAGGATGCAGCTAACCTACATAGACTTACAAAATATGAAAATGACGTAAATAGACAATTTCAAATTATTCATTTTTACGAATTTTAGTTGGCGACTTCAATACTTATAGGACCCGGAAAGGACTTCTCGACAATCTCGACAATTCGCTAACGGTATATAAAATCGACGTTTGATACCCATGTCGAAAACGCATATTTTTCGTTCAGTTTTCCGCCTATTTACCACAACAACTCGTTGCTTTGAAAGTCATGCGTTAAAGACAATTTATAGTTTACTAGTACGGCGTAATAAGTTGCAGTTACCTACATAAATAGTGGGTCAAGTCAAATTATTTTTTCCAACCAGTAAAAAACAAACACAAACAATATTCAAAAAGAGGTAATAATACATTTTACTTTGGAAGATTAAGCGCGTTTAACTAAATTAGAAGGCTTCAAGCACTTGGGAAATTGGGATGGGATTCAATCAATTGCATATCAAGTATTATCGCGTCCACTGCACCTTCGCTCAATTAGAACGCATCTCGAATAGGAAATTGATGAACCCTGGCATGCCTGCATATTTTCCAGTATTTTTATTTTGCCACGAAAACGATTTAATCGCTAGAATCCTCTTGTTCAAAATAATTTTAATTCAAAAAACAGAGTGAACAATGAAAGTTCGTTCCAGGTTTTTAAAGAATAACTTAAAGACTAAAAATCGAGTAGGGCTAAGACTCAAAGATTTTAGATTCATTTTCCGCGTTCCATGTATTTTGACAAGAATTAGGCAAACATTTGAATAAAATCATGATTAAACTTAAAGGCAAATGTGATAAGATTTTATTTACAGGCAATCAAAGCTGTTCAATTATTTTACTAGAATGTTAAATCGGTCGTATTTTCATCTTCGTAACTTTGATAGAATAATATTGTCCCATCCATGCAGGAAGACCATGCAACACCATCTGCGTAAGATTTGTGGACTCCGCCTCTGAAATAATGACCATTTAAAATACTTGAATGGCAGCTCGTGTACCACCATCCCCCTTTTAAAAAAATGCACAATTCGCAGAATTTGAATCATTGTCTTGAACCTTAGTCGTAAATCATTGACCGTTGTGACACCTCAAATAATCCCCCGCGTCTCCAGTGTATCCTCTAATAGCGAGGGCATACTTCTATTTCGGTCCTCCCATTTTAAAATTTCTGTGAAATTAATATCAACGTTCAGACTTTAGAATCCAATGAAGTAAATCATATGAGGTAATTAAATAATTCTTACAAATATTTTGCATTTTTTTCCCAATCTCCCAAATCAATACGAAGTTCGTAGTCATTATCACGCGTCAACAGTATTTCATTTAAAAATATTATAATTAAAACATTAATATAAGAATATGCGTTAAGCCCACTTTTTTGATTTTCTGATTGACTTCTCGTTGAAACGTAACCAACGTCATGAACCGATGATTCATAATTATTCAGGTATCATCATTATTTTTGGGAAAAACCGTAGATGTATCGTTAAAGTTATATATCTTTGCTGGAGTTTTTTTTTAATCAATGTAGTAGTATTTCAGCGAAAACAACTCTGTGAAACGTCAGAGAATTTCCAATCTTTTTCAATTTCAAACATACGGGACTTTTGCATCCACTTTCTGTTGACATGGCGCAGTCGACATGTCAATTTTCGTGAAACTCAGTCAGTAGACTTATGGTCAGTTAGCAGTAATGGTGATTGTCCAATATTGATTTGTTTTATTGTTACATTTCAAGATAAAGTTTCAATAGTTTGCGTATTCTTGATATGGCATCTGTTACCGACTAACACCATATAAAACATCTATCTCACTACAAGATCTGATTTATAAAGCATTATAGCAGCAACTGTCAGTATTGGTATCGGCGTATTGGTATCGGCGCTTTTCGTTAGTATTGGATAGATATCTGTATGGCCTGGAAAAAGTGTTATCGGTACATACAAAAGTCAAAAGTGTCGTGTTTTTAGGGGACTTGCGTATAGCTTGATTTTATATCGATTGCTTTCTATGCATATGTCAATAATCCAGTATCGTGTTGTATTGTTTGGCCTAGAACTTCTGAAGTTTGCCTCTACCTAATTGCTAATAGTAATAACAACATACTTTGACGAATCAATAATAATAGAATGAAGAAATAATCCACTTTCACTAACGAAATATTCAGTAACGGCGATCGAGCCTTGTCTTCTATCGCGTTGCGCATTGTTGATAAACGTATATCTCCGCATTCAAGCCTGCATCGGCCGAAACTTACATGGGTCGCAACGTCTGTAAGCCGTCTTCGACTTCGTATTGTAGAGTGTAGACTACTCTATTTCGTTAAAACGCATTCGTAAATTCAAAATCTGCAAATGTAACTTGCGACTAAGATGTTCGATACCAATTTAATTCGATATTTATAATGTGATGAAAATGTTATGTATTTATGATCTAGGTCTAGGATATGAAAAGAACAAATATAAATTGCAACGTTCCCGAAACCGAATTCCTGAAAGTCTCTATGTATCAAATGTGAGTATATTACGCTCCATTCCTTAGGTCAGCCATTAATATTGCTTTGAATTTCCATAAAATTATAGAGTTTTGTAATCTTCCGGTTAGTAGCCTCAACACAACGTTCGGTCAGCATATCCAAGCGACGCAACAAACCTTATCGCAAGCCCACCCACGTCCTCAAGACGTGAACAGACATCGCAAAAGCAAAAACCAGAGAATTACGCCGGACCTCGAACTATCACCCTCATCAAAGGCGTCTGTTTTTTCTGCTTCAGGGTGCAAACTGGGCCCTTGGAATGGTTTTCTGGGGCCACAAGCAAAGGCCTTCAATTGGTACCATTCACGAGGACTTAAATTTGAAGTGCACTGACTGGGATTTGCTCAGTGCCTCGACTGCATATATTCTTCCGCTTTCATCTGTTGTTTTTCATCAATTTTACATGACATATAACTAACATAGAAGCATAACCAAATTATTTTTTATGGAAATGACTAATGTCGCTGTCTTTAGAAGGGACTTTGGATCATGGAAGTTTGAGAACCACTGATTCCGGCTATGCTTCTTAAAATATAAACCTTCGATTTATTATAACGTTAGGTTTCGTATCATGCAATCACATTGTCCTAATTTTTGTTGACGATCACCATGCTATCGATATTCTTTATGTATCACCACTGCTTGTCGCCATGGGCTACCGGTACAAGGCCTAGAAGACCTCCTACATCCTTTCCTTTCTCACAGTTGAATAAAAATCACATGATAACCATCCCATTTTAATTTATTATTTCGATATGAAATGATAATGTATAAAGTTATGGGACGAAGCAAATACACATACGGAAATAGCTCAGTAACAGCTAATTCTATTGTATCCAAAACGAGTCGATGTCGACGCTGTAATTCTTCAAAGAAATATTCAAGATTAATCGCCTTGATGCTTCTTTCAGTTGTCTTTTGTGGACATTTTGTTGTTTTCCAATATTTACAAAACAAGAAGAATTACCGTTAGCGACAATGGGATTTAAAGCGTTCAGTGAAAAGAATACACAGAACTGACGCTTTTGTTCACGTGTCATTTTTTCATTAATATTACTGCTTTAATCTTATCATTTGTCACTATGAGTTTAGCAATGTTGACTTTAAATATGGTGAGATTTATAGGGAATTTGGTGCTTATTTATAACAATCGAGTATTACGACACGGTAGTCAACACCGCTAAGATAATCGTTGTTGCTGAGGTTGTACTTGTACCGAATTCATATTTCAATGCTGGACTGTTGTTTAATCAACAATATACTGCGCGTTATATACTTAGATTCTGGTTGTGTTGAATATAAATCAATTCACTCAACCAAATAGATACAGAATCGATTTATACGGAGAGAATAACGAGTTTTAAGTATTTGCATGCGTGAAAAGTGACCATCAGTTGGTAGAGTAGGTAAAAAAATAATAAAATCTCCTTTCTCTTTTGTAGACAATCCAGATTTCGCTTCTTTTGTATGCAATCTAATTTTCGCTGTTTGGTTCAAATTCGGAATCTGAAAAATTCCGAAATTTTTTCGGTTTGAGACATTGTCGACTATATTCTTTTTACTACTTTTGTTAAAGTATGCCTTATTATATGTTGGGAGGATACCGTTGATAAAGAACTTACTGGTAAGTAGTAAAAACCAGCAACGGTAGTCGAATTTGATATTTGATATTTTCCGGCTCTTGCAAAGTGAAAGGCTTTCAAGAATGAGTGACAAAAATGAAGATATCTATAACAAAATATTTCAGCAGGCTTGGTTTAAAATAATGGTGTATATCTGACATGTTTATTAGCTGGATGATATGTAGTCAAAGATTAAAGATAAAAAAACTCGAAGATACGAATAAATGAGTTCCCGAAGTTGTAACCTAGTTACTAATACAACACGTAAACAAATTTCGGTTTCATCTACATTAAATAGTTTCTTAAATAGAAGTGTGTGTCGATTGATCTGTATGTCGATACCATATTAATGCGTAGTTGAATGGGTACAAGTTAGGTCAACACAATAATAGTGTAAACAGGTAGGTGGTTCGTTTACTCATTTTTACAGCCAGGCTCGAGTCGCAACGCAAACTCGGTTTGAAGAGTCGGATCCGATCTGAAATTCTCACATAAACGTCATTCTCGTATATATATAGGATTTATTGAAATATTGCAGTTTCAAAATAAATTATTTTTCTTGGTATTTGTATTCTAGGGATATTTTGTATTTGGACAAACTTTGAGTAAACCTTTGTAACAATATGAACAACAAACAAAATAAAACTCAATCACATGGACTAAGGGCTACTATTTATGATTCACCATCACCCACCAGTAGACCTGTGACACGGTCATCATCCAGTGCAAAATGGGAACTAGGTAAGATGCTTAGTGATATATATATAATATGAATTGAACAAAGGATTGTACAGCGATGAAGTTCTTAATGGACCTAATATTTCATTCAAACACAGTCCGAACAATCCATTCCTAACTAAACTGAACTAACCATAAATTTGATATCAACAATCTGAGCTGTTTTCGGCAAGATTTTCCAATCATACAAGACGTGATCCGACCTTTTCTGCATTGAAAACGGAATGCGCAATGCGATGCCATAATGCTTTACATAAAAGTTGTGTTTTCTCTAGAATACGATCCATATAAGTTTGCTTATATTTTACGGCCTCCCTGTATGTAGGTATTGTGGCATCATCACTTATAATCGTTCTATAAGTGGCTATTCGTCTTTTGGTTATAAGCTCATATGTGTCCTCTCTTTGAGCGCATCAAAAATAACTAACAACCGAAAACCAACTATTGCGGGAAAAATTAAGAGAGTTTTGTGATTGAAGTTTGAGTGCGCTTAATCCTAATTTGTGTGTGTGATTTTCTAATTTTTTTTTATAAATACCTTATTCGTGACTGTGATATTCTTAACAGGTTGGGAAGATCCAGATGCACTACTGAAAATATCTGTGTTCAATGAATCACACGTGCAACGGCCAAAGGGTGCCTCACTAATACTGAGGAACAGGATATCGGTAAGTTAATAATTGTTATACCGACTGAATGCAGTCTCAAATTTTTTAAATAAAGGAAACGAACATATACAGTATATATATTTTTCCCGAACTCGACCACGAAAAAAATACACCATGCCCCTCCGGGTTAATCACGCTTAAATTGCTCTAATAAAATGAATTTGGTACAAATACAAACGCGGGTTATATGAAGTAAACTGTTATCTCTATTTATTATGATTTGTTGTTCAAGATATTATAAAATCAAACATTTGTTCAATCAGCGAATGGAGCAACTAAGTTTACATGGAAAAAAGAGAAACCGGTCTTTCTCAGTCAGTTTCAAACCACAAAAGGTAAGATATTGAACCATTCAAAACAGTATCAACCTCTAGTTTTTTCAAGTAGTTTCAATAATTGTTAAACTCTTCAAGATAATGTTACAATAGTTTGCGTATTCTTGTAATCGCAGATGTCATCGACTAACCCCACATAGAACATCTCACTACAAGGGAAAAATTATAAAATTCAAGCATTATAGAAGCCAGCTATTAGGATATAGATATTCAGTGGCTAAATACCGGCTTCAGTTTGTCAGTTACTACTTTCGTTAATATTTTCGTCATTCACACTTAACGCATAATTGTATCAAAAATTTATTTTAATGGTGGGGTATCAAAATTGGAATTATGATATGAATATTGCAATGTTGGCGACTGGGTTAATTGCAAAATTGTGTTTCGAAGTCCAGGACTTTGCAGAAAAGTCTAGCTTACATAGAGTGCACATTTTATACCTTATTGAAGTTCTCTATATATATGTATATTATTTCCCCTGCTTGTTGCTTTACAGTATTTATCATTGTTTCGAAAATTTGCCAAGAGCGTTATTCTACTTTTGAAGTGTTTTAGAATGCGACGAAAGTGAGCTTTGTGTTTTTATAGATATGTTTTAGGAATTTTATTACAGATAACCATGTTTGGGAGTCAAAATATACATACAGTTTGTGATAAGTTAGCGATATGTACGATATTTTATAACGAATAATAATATCGAATAAACTGCCAATTGACTATAGTTTATTTGATATTATTATTCGTTGTTCAAATCAATCTGCTTATGCGACAAATACCAACTTATGACAAAAACGAATATGTGTTTTGTTTTGCTTGAAATGACAACAAAACAAGCGCTAGAAAAATTAGAAATTTTCCATAAAACAATCTTGAAATTTAATTTTTTTTATTGGATCTTACGTCGTTTGATTAAGTGTGGCAGTATTACATGATTGTAAGATAATGATGTAGTATTATAAATTTTAGATTTGCTGTCCAGTCAAGGAATATGACTTTAAAGCACACGGAACAAACTGGCGATTTTAATGTATTTAAGACCAGTTCAGTGAGTGATTATTTTGTTTTAATATAAATGTTCTAGGTTCAGGCTTTGGTATTGGTGTGAATATATGTTCGTATTTGCCACCACATGCAAAAAGTTTTTTTTTTTTTTTTTTTGACAAATGCTTCTTGGTCAACTAATTTCCATCATACAGATAATTACCTTCTTACTCTACATTTCTTAAAGAAGGCCGTCGATTGCCTCTATAAGACAACAATACATAACACGTCACACGAAATACATACAAAAGTGGATCTTCTTTTTTTAGATAAACCGGGAATTGCAAATTATATTATCAACTCCACCCGAACATAGAACAATAGAAAATTTGAGAAAAATCCAGTATTATATGAAAGCAACTGGGGCACATAGACTTTTAGCAAGTGCTTCAACAAATGAAGATTTACAAAACCTTGCTCGATATGTTGCATATGAAAGGTATACTGTGTATGCTCAAAATTTTTTAACCTCGACTAATTTAATATCGTGAATCTTCGTTGAGGTAAACGTTCTGAATTATAAAGGTGATAACCAAGATTTTTTTCAATGCGTGCTAGCTCAAACCTGAATCCGATATAAATATAACCGGTTTAGGCCTTCCGTTCCCAGTCATTAAAATTGGCAATTTGCAAACTTACATATATGAATAAATTAAAAGGGTTTCATAGCCCTCAATTAATTGAACTAAAAAGTTGAACGCTCACCAATATCTAAATTCAGTAATGTTTAGAATCTCAAAGCTGCACACAAAGTAATTTGGAAATTGTTATATTGTTTCAACACAGATATGAAAATGACCGAGTAGTTGCCCAGCAAGGGCGCCCTCCAGATAGATTTTATTTTTTGATCACCGGAAAACTGCTAATTGTGAAGGAATATCAAATAGACACAGGAATAATTTCCAAAACAGTCGGAGTTCTAACGAAAGGAATGACAACAAATGTTAGTAACAAAAAGAAAAAGTTTTATAGAATTAGAAAGAGTGAACCTAAAAGTATGAATTATCACATTAGTTTGTGTGTGCATATCAAAATCCGACCCGATGTGGTGTCTGCAAATAACTAGCAGTGGAAGATAGAAAAGGCATTTAAATAAGCCTGGCGCATCCAATATAAGCAAATATATGTCGTAATAATATTTTTTCACCGTTCCAACGGTGTTGAGTATAATTATTTTGCTCGTGTCATTTCGAAGTTGGAAAGTATACACAGTCATTAATGTGTATAAGCGAAGCTCTGCCCTTTTCAGGTAGAGGAAATGGAAAAACGAAATTTACGAAAATCTTCTCTGATTTGCCGAGGACCTGTTGAAACTCTCGTTCTTGATTGCGATGTAAGTAACTTAATGACCGTTTTCAATTCCAAACTAGCAAACTCAGATGCCAAGCACATACAACAAACTTGGGTGGAATGTAATCTGCGACGGTATACAAACATTTCAACCTATGCGAAACCTTTCGGCCTAGAGATATATCGCCATCGGGTATCGGCAATATTGGTCATTTTTTCGATGTCAGTTTGTTTCGGTTCCGGCTAAAATAGACTGATATTTCCGATTCATTCAGCTCTTTGATCTGATCCAGAACATCACGATTCCGAGCGCCTGTGCACAACTTACAACTATTTTATCCAATCTGTCCCAGACATCCGAGATGATATACACATAGTATCGGTGTCGGCCCAGATAAGATCGAGTGCGCGGATAGGTCTATCAAGGATGCGAGATGCAATAGGAGACGAGGCTCGATTTTGTATCGAAATAATATTACATAAGTCAAACATAATTAAATAATACATGATATGGCCATAAAAAGTGCCGTGTTTTTAGGGGACATGCGTACAGCTAGGTTTTATTCCAATTGCTTTCCATACACATGTTAATAACCTAAGTTCGTGTTCAATTGTTTGCGTTTAAACTCTCAAAGTTTGCCTCCAATTGTAATAACAAAATACTTTGACAATCAATAAATAATAGAGAAGAAAAATGACTTTTTTTCACTAACGAAATATTCAATCAGGGTGATCGAGTCTTGTCTTCTATCGCGCTGCACGTTGTTTATAAACGTATCTCCGCACACGAGTCTGTATAGCCAAAACTTTCGCCGAAACGTCTGTAAGTCATCTTCGATCACGTATTGTAGGCTACTCTTTTTGTTAAAACACATCCCTGAATTCAAAATCTGCAAATATAACTTGTAACTAAGGTGTTTGATACCAACGGGGTGGGGTGTTCATAAAGTCTTGAAATGTTTTAAATTTATACGCGAATTTATAAATTTATTTAAAATTTTGGATCCGAGATTCATTCAACACAAATCGCATATAACTGTAAATGTAAATGTCGTAGTAGTCAGAAGCATCTCCAAACCAAAAACTCCTTTTGTCTAAATATTCAAGGGCGAATGAGCTCATTATAAATCGATTCATTCAATATAGCGCTATTCAATTCAATATTAGATTCGATCTTCATATTTGCAATATACCTTCTCCAATAGGATATTCTGAATCCGTCGAAGAATCGTATATATTACGCCTAGTAATCGTCCGAGATGAGACCAAATCGTCTATTACTTTATATGAAATATAATTACCCATCTACTGTTATATGAGCAAATATTGTTTCTTTAAAGAATTATTTTCTAATACACGGAGAAAGAGGTGGAGCACCTAGGGAGTTCCTGTCAAGACATTCACTATTTCGAACGTTTCCATTTGAGACAGTTAAATGTCATAAACAGTTATTGAAGTTGCAATATTTTCCGTAAGTCTTACATTAGTTAGTAAATATGTTTTATAGGACGGATTCAAGTGTATTTTACTTATGTTCAACAAACGTTTACATAAAGTTTAAAAATATAGAGTATATATAAAAAAGTTATGTACAAATTCTTTTTGTGAACTTTCAAGTATCTTTGTTTATTGCTTTTCAGCAAAGGTGCTATTATTTTTGGCGGTGGTTCGGAATTTGAATGGATTTATATTATAAAATCAGTAAGTTCTTTTTTTAGTCTTATTGTTAATACACCATTAAGTCTTATTGTTAATACACCATTATATATACACTACAGACCGCATATGACAACATGATATGTTCTAAGCACTGATAAAAATTCATAGCGCCACATACATATTCAGGTGTCATTATTTGGCTGCACATGCATATCTCAACCCGCACTCCACTTAGCCACACCGTTGTCAAACTTTATTTCCTAATAGTGCTTTTGTTTTGTTTTTAAGATATTATAACATCTAAATATTCAGGGGGAATGTTCATTGATACGAGTGCAAACTGTAGCCGACTTCAAGAAAAAATATCCTGCTTCCTCCATAAACAATTTGGAATTTGGAAATAGACGCCGTAGATCGAAGTCAGCAGCTGAAAAGCTTGCTGATTTCCGAGCTTGGAAAGGTCCCAAAAGGTCACCACTGAGCTTTCGACAGACTCGTCCTCACAACAATGAAGAACAAGGTAGACAGATGGAATTGCACAAAGCAAGGTTGGTGTGCAGTGTCTGGAAAATATTTTGTAAAAGAAAGCACTGGGTACTGTCCCGTTGTTGCTTTACTTTTAATTAGATCTGTTTTCTTTGAGCTACTCGCCTACATTCCGATTCATTCATAGAACCGAAGACCTTGTGTAACACGATATATATATTATAATTTATTGGGTTACTTTTAATGATAAGTGTACGGGCCACGATAATACAAAAAATGTTATAGAGATGTTATAGAAATTGATCTAATTTTTTACCCTCAGTATAAAGACAGCCCAGCCCGTTAAAGAGTTATATGCGTTATATGCATCGCATGATCATAAATAATTCCAACGTCAAACTGACGGTTCAATCGATTAGACAGGAAAGGAAACTTGAAATAATTCGTACACACTTGACGCCTTTGTAATATATATAGCTGTATCGACAATAAGTGAATATGAAACGAAACATTCTGCAGGTCTACAGGAATTCCATTATTTTCAAATTCTTCGAATCAAGATGAAAATAAAGGACTCAAGTTCAATCAGGAGCAAAATAACAAGACGTTCTCAACAGAGAGTGAAGGTTTTTACCGACCAAAAACTGTCGGTGATGAATTAAATAGTTCGGATTATACCTCTGTTGGTCGTGTAAAATTGATACCAATACTGGGAAAAAGTAAATTCACTTCATCACAAACATATGCTAGAAAAGAAAAGGCTCAAAGTGCGTCACCAAGATATAGACAAGCTTATCTAGAACTTGGGAAATTGAAATATGGAGATGTTCTGGTGAGTACTTTTTACATCCATGGACAAATCAACGATGTGAAGTTATATTTGTTAAAATAAGATAGGTAACGTGGTTCAGACTTGGCTATTACTAATGAAAATATTTTATTATTAAATTTAGTACAACAATTTTCAGTTTTTTTTCACATGTCGTATTTGCTCGATTTTTGAACACGATTATCTAAAATATGGTTAATTGAAAGCTAGAACTAACTTAACTAGAAGTAGTAGTAGTAGAAGTATCTGCTAATTGAACCTCTTTAGGACAACATTAGAATTGGACAGTTTGTGCTTTTAAGTCCGAAAACTTTTTCTACACCTCTTCATTCTAATGATGTGAGCAAGTGTCCGGTAACCACAAACTCGTCAAATATAATACCGGGATGAATAAGAATAGTATTCAAACATGAACGTTTATTAACATTTGATAAGTCATAAAATTAATCGGCATAGACAAATAAATAGCGTTAACATGGTTTTGCTGTCTTACACATTTCAGGGCTTTGAAAACACATTTCAAATCGAAGATTTACCAAATATCAGATTGATGAGTGAATCAGGAGCAGAAGTTGTTCTTTTCAACAGAAATTTTTTTCTAAGAAATGCTCCAACATCACTTTTGAGTTTGATAAGTTACCGAGTAAGCTATTAGTTTCAATAAAAACAAAAATACTAAAAAAAAAAACGAAATGAACAGGGATCCCATTAGTTAATATGCAATAGCCAAATGGCCTACTATATCTCCGATTCATTCTATGTATCCACGTATCCAAGCGGTTGAAAGGAGTAAATTTTGGCCATGTTTTCAGTAATATCGAGTCATATTTACGCTCGAACATGTTGACTAGAGTGTTAGATTAGCATTATAAATTATTTCTTTATTAAGAGCTTGAGTTATTGTAAACTCACTTACCACTTTGATACTATCATTCTGCAGCCTGGCCGACGTAAAAGAGGAAATCTTGGTAAAACAATCTTACATGCTGGGCCGAAGTAGCCTAACATTCTTCTCCCAAGTTGTCAAATTTTATACATACAGTAAAAATTGCGTCTGGTAATATAGTCCCATTTTCTCACTTTAATATTTAATTCAGACCAGCAGCTATCCGGACACACGAAAAGCTCGATCGGACTTAGAAACTATAGAGGCGTGGTCAATGTACAAAGCCACACTTGTGAGAGCTTTATCTGGAAATAGCTCATCTGGTGCCGATGTATTGTCAAACAGAGTATTACAGAGAAAATATGTTTCTCAGCCGACTACACCGGGAAATATTTTTCTTCAAAAATCACAAGCTCATCGAATCCCACCCGGGACGTCTGATGGAATCCGTTTTCCTAAATTTCGAAACTCTTTCTCGTCTTCCGTGCATAACAATTTATCTATTACTAGGGGGACACGAATAACGACATAGATGAGTTTAATGACACTAAACTCCGAAGTTTGAGTTCTTTTTCTCCTGATATTCTAAATAGATAATTACAGTAGCAATTTTTAATAATGTTGTCTTCTAACTTTAATCAACTTAAATATACAAATTTATATATATTTCAGAATTAATGTTCTTAATATAGCGAAAAAGACAAAATTACAAGTTTCCATTGGAGGAACTTCAAGCCTTATACCAATCCGTCTTTAACGATTTTTCTTTCGACATTCAAGGCATTTCGTCGGCCGGGGATAGCATGTAGTTTTTACGTCAGTGATGTTTCCACGATGTAGATTGCATCATCGTGGTCGTCAACGTGAATATATGCCTTTCATTGAGTATCAGATCGCCGAAATCTGCGACCGGAAAATTCACGTGATGGGTTTTACTCGCTAAATGAGGTAAAATCCAACGGACACGAGAGAGCTTTACGCTTTAAAATACTTTCCCTATATGACACTTCTCTGGCAATCACAAACTTCACGATGGTACATTAATCCAATTAATTGCCTTGATAAAACTAAAGTAATGCATCTGACCCCTCGCCGTCTGTCAAACTGTCACGGTTCCAGCTGACATGTGTGTACAATTCCTGCCAAACGCTCAGATCTTAATCGATTATTGAAGTTACAAATATGTACACCAAACACCATAACTGTTGCTACAATTAATTCAGAAAATAATTCAAGAAATATAAACTTAGTGTTCGGCCCAACAAGAAATTAATTTTTTTAACGGTCAAAGTTGAAATAAGACATTCAGTGAACAAAAGCAATTGTGTAAAGTAGAGAAAACGTCAAGAAAATTTATGGGTTCTATATCAATTTAAAGGATCCCATGTTATCGACACGATCTAGTTGGCAAAGTGAACAACTACCAATTCGTTTACATCGCTTCCGTGTGCAAAAATATTCTTTAATTTGAGGCTTTGATTCGGACAAATTTTGATGAATAGATGTTGCCTACATTCCAAAATGTTGAATTTTAAAAAGAAAGAGAAGTACGCATGTATATGTATATATGCATTATTCAGCATTGTAAAGTAAACATGAGTTTAAAATTTTTCTTCGTCTGCTAGTGCCTAGAAAGATCAACGTTTGTTTTTCATCGCCAACGAGTTAAGAAAGCAACATAAACTTGGTTGATTGATTCTTTTCAGTACATATAGTCTTTCTGGTTTAAATTCTGGAATATACATTGAGAAAATATGAGAAATAAAGATGTAAATCGTAAATGGTCATGTCGGATATATGTGTATTGGAAGCAGAAAAAATTTATGACTCTTATAACAATTTATTTCTCTCCATGCGGAAGATAGATTCATCCTAATCTACATTAATTCAAGTTTGAGTTTTGGGTTTGATATGTTTGGATGGCATTTATTTGATAATCTTGCTTGGATTTGTGAAAATTGGATATTATATTCGATCGGATATTATTTCTATTGTCTAAAATAATTTTGCACAACACTATTGTAGATTTAGCACAAAACGTCAGCGTACCAATTATCTTAGCATGGCGAATTAACAATTTTGAACAAAGAATATTTCGAAAATGGCTCATATCGGTTATTTATTTAATGGCATATTTGCTCCGGACTGTTTGACCCCCTTTTGGCCTTTAAGTTAGATTTATGCAATAAGAAATAATTTTAATTCATTACCATTGCAGTGTGCAGAGAACTCGATAGAATCTATTCAATTTATAGTTTCCTTCAACTTTTACGTTTACAGGGTTCCAGAGTTCAATGGATTTGGGATTCGAGACAGGTTCGTGCATAGTTTCTAATTAGGTTCTGATTCGCGTTTAAAAAGTGAGTGCACTCACAGATTAATTGTAGCAGGCTCACCTTCATTGGACGCTTAAATATGAATGGAATTCGGGAAAATGTTCCTCCAGTTACTTCTTGGTCCTTAGGATGATCTTTCTGCGTTTCTGCTTTCTGTTGAATAAAAATCGTAATATGTTTGGCATATTCCTGTGCTAATAGGTTCTCGTTTAGATCAAAATTTGAAATTTTGAAGCTCGCATAATTTGTAACAAAATAATAGTGTCAGAAATTGTTGTCAAATAGACAGCGATTCTACTAAATTAAAGCTAAAATACTTGATCGTGCCACTATACCTGAAAGTAGTTTCTTCTGATTATGAACGGACTGACGTAAAGACGTGTGCTTTCTCTCTTTCTTGGGACATCCTGTTGCAATACGTTTGCATGAAAACAAAGTATGAAATAATCAATTTAGTAAAAAGTAAGAAATGGCAAAATACGTTTGTGCTGTACATGTGCTGGAGCTAGGAGATAAAATTCCGATTAAGTTTTAACATTTTTCTTTTGACTTGCTTTATGGCCTTAGGGAATACAATATTGGAAGTATAACGTGGGAAGTGAACCGTTTCAACCAATTGAAATTTTTCATGAGCTACGTTTTTGGTCCGATTTTTGGTTGGGGCGGGGCGTTCAGAATACAGAATACTTCAGAATTCTTATTTTTGAACAAATCCTTTTTTTTTACACTTTGCGATACCTGTGTATGCAATGTAAGGTTTGTACACTAACAAGTGGTTGCGCATCGAAGGAACGACACAATTTCAATGAATGCAAATAACGTAGGAGGAAAATTGTCGAAAACTGAATATCGGTTGACAAAATATTATCAAGGTGTGTATATACGAAATCTAAGAGAAATAATTTACCATAATAGGTTTTCTTCCCATTTTCATAGGATTTTTTAATCGTCGAATATCCTCTTTCACGTCATAAAGCCCCAAATCGTTACCGTTGTCCAGGTTTGTTGATTCGTATTGCTCAACCAGTTGCTATCGTGTCAATGTAACAAAAATAAAATTCGTTGCATAATATTAACTTTTGAATGATAATAGTTGGGCATTTCTCAGATTGCAAACATGATGGCACCTGTGATAATATTCCCTTATTTTTAATTGCTTTTTATTCAAATATATACTTCATGAGGAAATACTTTAATCAACTATTAATGTTGAGGCCTAAGCTTTAATTATCACTTATAATATAAATAAGACCAAACTCACCATCTCTAACATATCGGAGACTACGTCAATGTTGGGCTCTCGATCGAACACTAAAATAAACATTCAACATAAATAAAAAGCATGTTATCAAATACAAAAATACAAAGTCGTGTAATATTAAATAGTGTGGCCCTAATTGAGTTCTATATATTTGTTTTCGAATACATAAAGTACTTGAAGCTTCAGAAAGAAAGCTGTAATCTATGGAAGCTATAAGATATTAAGTTTGGTATTGTAGACGCCAAATTCATATCTAAGCACAGCAGTCAAGGAGAACTCTTGAATCAAATAGAATAGTTATCTTTATTTCTGCTACAGCATTTTTTTATTATACGCATACGTATCCACTCGCGAATAGGCATAGAGCAAGGGAAGGTAGTTTGTCTCGCCCTACCCCTGGTATTCACGTATTTAACTACTTTGTTATCGCAGGTTAAAAACCTTGGATCCAATCTCTGTGATCACCAGTTGTCCTACGGTTAGTAGGCTGTGTTGAATCGAAAACTATGTTCTTTCAAAAATAGGAGCTTGTAAAGTATCAAAGGCTACTTGTGTAGGACCTTGTTTGAAACAATGACTACTACAAATGACCTCATAAAACACACAAATGCTTTGTTAACCTAGAAATTTAAACATTACAAAGTAATGTTGAATATATATCGGGATAGTAATTCGATAACATAAATTAAAATGTGCAGTCTACTTACCAATAGTTGCACCATGGGTTGATACGATGAAAAAATTCTGCATCACAATTATACCGTACACTAACCATATATTAGAACTTCTCGGCGTTGTTAGAAACATAACTTTCTTTCCTTGAATATCACAAATTATCAAATATATACTGTGCAATAAGATTAGATAATAGTATTGTAAAGATAATGAAGTGGATAAAAAAGTTTATCAATTAAAGTATGTCGTAGCTGTAGTTATGGGGAACGCACCACAGAAGACAAAAACAAAGCGATATACATGTAACAAAATCTCACTGCGACCTCGCAGCGGGGCACTGGTGAAGTTTCTCTCATGCCGGACCGTTTTATAGAAAACGTTTCCCCGCGAACTTTCCTCCTGATGTCGCCGCTTTCAATGCACATGGCAACAAATTTGTACGTACATAAATTACTTGAATATTAAAATGCACCACTCGACTCGATTTTCTGTCTCAGTGACTTCCTAACTGTCATATCCAAGATGGTTTTAAGATAATGGCTTATTAGTAGACCTTATTTTGAAATTTTATTTAAAATCATGGCACAGAACAAAGTTGCAGCTGAACCTGACTTTCGAGACTAATTTTATGACAATAAATAATTATAGTGACCAGTCTTGAAATCAATATTATGTGTTTCATTAATATTCGTTTTGTGTATTGAAATTTGCTTGACGTTTGATCGAAAATGTGGCGTGAAACATACATTTATGTTTTCAATCAATTTATTATATTTAATTAGATTGGGTTCTTAATATTTTTTTGAATATTCACTTGCCTCATCAATATCCTGTAGACGTCATGTACCTCATTGATAGAACAGACATTAGCCTGCACATATACGGTATGTATTTTTTAATGCATTTTCACGTACTGTCACATCGAACAAGGCTTTGGACACAGATACTTTGAAAAGAACTTGAAATCTTTTACATTGCCCAATTCATTTATTACACTATGGGTAAAGTGAAAGGCATGAACATGGGCATTTATTAGTATATATTTCCATAGTCAATCTAGAGCTTAAAATTGGAATCTTGTCTAGAAACTGAACCGGCCCGCAGCACAAAATTCTCGATTTGAGGCACTGAAGTGAGCAAAAACAACACATTCAATTCTAAAATGATCAAGAATCTTGTCAGCAAGTGCATGGGACGTGTTCAACTGAAATCCTAATTTACAATTATGCTTTGAATAATTGCCTGATAGATAAACCCAAACTTGGAACCGACCTGAAAAGTCAGCCCACATGTACAACTCCATAACTATAATTTGATTATTTGAGACTTAAGACGTCTATTGTGTATTGTGACCTTGAGACACTGATTACGCATTATTTAAAAAATTCGTGTTGTCCTTGTTCAGGCATGGTTATAGTACCAGCAACCTTTTTAAGTTTGTGTGTTGTAATATCATTTAACAATATGTATTATCCTAATGAATTATGAGTGTTCACGTTTTTAAACCGTTTAACTAGTCTTTTGTTATTCTTTTTTACCTTATTATAACCCTAAATTACTGGTCCTCTTTTCACACTAAGTCACCCATTCAAATCCGTCATTTGGTTTGTGAGATGCCCAGTTTTATACATCACGCATAGTTAGAAATAAGTACAGTAGATTGAAACAAAGTTATTAAATAAGAGTGACCTGTTTATGCGGATCTTAGTGCTGAACTATGAGGTTATTACGATTTATTCTACTGCTGAAATCGGAACGACTTCCGAAGTCAGAGAAACTATGTGGAGATCCAAATGAGGCTGAAACAGCAAGAACCTTTTTGAAATCGGTTCAAAAACTTTTTCATGCCTTGTTTATAGGCAGCTAGGCAGCCTTGCTCAGTACGACCAACATCTTTGCATCCGCTGAGGTGGAAAACTTGTACTACTGATCGCCATGTGTACATGCGTACATTGAAGATGCGATCGCAATAATACGACTTCAAAATTTGAAGGTCAGTTTGACTTTACTCACAAAAATTGCATGACATAACCTGCTCGTAAAATGCTCTCTGATATGGTATTTAACATTTTTAAGTTTAACTGTCCTTTTTCTGTTTACTTTTAAAACTTCAAGAAATGGACTTCAGTCAACGGGCGGTAGCAATATTTTAATCAATAATCCTAATCAATATCTTTAACTAAAACTAATAGTGCAACCATTCATTCTCTTAATCGGCCCATCATCTGTCTTATAATGACAGTATTAAAAGAAACGTATTTTTTTGAATATTTATTTAAACTGCAATCATGATATCAGGGAGTTCTGTTTTGTGGTATTTCCTCAATACTATCCATTTCACCATCATGAATCTTCTTCAATTGTTTATTTGTTATAGCGATACCAATGATAAGAGTAATAGTAAAGAAAATTCCAAATGCTTTGATGAATTTTGAATTGTCATTGATAATGAACCAGATTTTATATCCACATCCATTTTCATAAAATACCGACGACGTTTCGCAGAGTTGTTCGGAATCTTTTGGAAGTTCAACGCAACAAGATGATGGCAACACCATTGAGCTGTGCTTCGTTTGTAAAAATTGTTAAAATATCTGGACAATTTAGGTACAGATATACACTACAGAGAAAGAAGTAGCTAGTAATGGAGATAAAGACTGATATTACTAGAATATTACAAAATAGTTGTATCTCTAACAAAAGTACAGTACTATATGTTTGGGTATGTAATAGAGATAAAAGGTAGCTTTCCAAGTTTAAGTGAAATATTATGTGGCTAAATATTCTGTTGGTGCAATTTCTATTTTTAGAAAATGCCAACCTGTTTAATGAAAGCTGTGAAGCAGTGTTCACCCAATTTTCATTTTTTGACCAATCCAAGTAGGATTTAACGCCACAGCATTCTCCATACTGCTGAATGTGATCAATGGGCTCTTTGTTCGAGTTATAGGTAGAAAACATAACTGAAAATAAAATTAGGAACAATTTGCAATATAGTCATATTTTGGACATTATTAAAAATCCAATAATAAAGGAAACCACTACATTCAATGGATGAAAACTGACAAATTTGAATAGTTCCTGCGTTTCCTACTTCCTAACGTTACAAGTTTCAATGTAATATTTATAAAATACCAAAGGTTACTAAGTTTTGTATGAAAAAATTAAGTTTGTTTGATTTTCCTTTCCTCAGATAAAAAGTTTCCCATAGTATAAATGGCCATAGACTTTTTCAATAATTGCGAATTCAAACGAACTTATTGTAAGCATTGTTATAACTTTTAAACCTATACTTTCACCGACATTTTTGTCACGATAATAAACCTTTTAATTGTAGCTTCTATCGCATTGGTGACCGTTTGCACTTTTCCGATCAATTCTGTTCTACGCCTTTTGCGCTTCGGACAATAGTACAACTAGAATTCGGTTGGAAACCGAAGACTTATCGATCGAAGGTTAAGGGATCCCCCAAAACAGTGGTCTTACTCCATAGTGACACCGTGTGTCCCATCACTAATTAATCAATAACTCGCTAATTATACGACATAATCCATCCAAAATCAATAGGCTTCGGATCCGAGCTATGATGAATGCACATGCAAAATTTGGAGCAGATTGAACCTCGCTTCAAAATTCAGACCATATACAAACGAAATAGAATCATTGCCAATCTTTTTTATTTATGATGTAACTCTGTCGTGTTTCTTTCACTCACCCTTTTCTAGAGCGATAAATAAGAACGGTTTTGTGATTGAATTTTAATAATTTGTCCGCGAGCGAACAACAACAACAACAACAACAAGTCCAGTTAATGTAGTAACGGCAGTATCATAACGTTGTTATTTTCTTTTATCAGGCCATACAATATATAACATAAATATAGTCAAACTCCTCTCGGTGTTCAAATGATCAGGTTTTGGCGTGATGTGTTGAAACCGCACTCTTGCAGAATGACGAATTATCGGTATATCCCGTTTACTGAGTACCATGACTGCAAATTGACTTTGTCGTTTTGCGATGTGTGCGATGTGTGTTCATGGAACAAATGTTGGGAGTATTTTACCAAGAGCCTCCGTATACTATCGAACGTCAAGTCACAAAATAGACAAAACCACCTTATACTGACTGAGCCTAAAGTCACAAAATATGGCACTTACATTCTACTGATTGCATAATTGTCATCTCTAGTGAAGAGGCGGCCACTATTGCCAATATCGTGAGTACAAAGTATAAGATAATAACAGCGAACAATACAAATTTGAAGATCTGAAATCATCAAAGTTTTATTCAGTTATCATTGATAACCGTTATTCTATTTAATACATGCATTCTTACCATGCAGAATTCAAAAAAAGTTTAAATCAAAATTCTATATAGTTGTTGCTGTGCTGAGGCAGTTAGAACTTCCTATTTCGGGTAGTCCGTTAGTAAGTTTGCCGGTTGTAACTATTGTAACCGAGATAAGTTAAGCGACTGTAAAACAAGTAAACTCCAAAACGCTACTCACCCTTAAACGATCCCGAAACGAAGAACAGTTTTGGGGCAAAGATAGTTGGACAACTTACGCTTTATCATTTGTCTAGCAAAATGTCATTAAACTTTACCAGATTCAATATCGTTTGTTTATTATATACCATACAGTGTACGGAAAATATGAAAATGAGCTACGGTAATTCTTGTTAGAGCAATCTTCAATCGGGATTTCTCAATCATTATTGCTCGTAAAATACAATGAAGAAAACTTTAATTAAAGTAAAAATATCTTTATATATAAAACTTGAGAATATATGATAATTACTAATGGGTCCTTGAAAGTAAAATGGTTTTCAGTCAGTATTTTACTGCCCTGATATCTGCCACAATATTCTTAGTGTTTTTCTGTATAGTCCAAAATAGAACGCAACTGAGAGAAAATATTATTGATAAACATATATGGGTGATTGTTACAATGCATTGAAATAATACGTTTCTCACCTTCAACATGCAGATATTTCCATCACGGGCTCCGTGCCAACCACATAAAGACACGAAAAATATTATCAGTCCCACTGAAATCGATATTGCAGATGAAGCCGCGAATAAATTCTTGGGTGTCGCAATACCGGTGTCATCTTAAATTAAAATAATATACATAGTAACAGATTGAATTAGTTAAGCAATATTCAAGTAGGAGTGTATTTATTTTTTAGCTTTTCAAAGCTTGTGTTCGTCGTAAGAAGATGAACACAATTTATTGGTTGTCTATTAGTGCGGAATTTCGAGTTTTGAGTTTCAAAATAGTGATACAATGCTATTTAAATATCTAACAATTGGGGTCTCCAGCAGCCTCATACCGGCAAAATCGAGTGTAATTGTGTATATATATCCGACAATTGAAGAGAAATAAACAGCTAGTGAGAAAATTGAAACTCAAAAACCGAAAACCATGGTTTTTTTATACGTTAGGGTAGTGTGGAGCTTCTGAATTTCTCGGTCGGGCGCTTTCCTCCGGACATCTTTCACAAGATATCGAAGTGTGCATTTAGTATTTATTCACAATATCTGTGAATATATTTAGATCACAATCTCCTGAGCATATATGATACATTCTGTCTGTATATGAAAATCATAATAAGCGATAAAATGAAAATACAGCCATGATTAGTGACTCAACAAACGGCGTCACACCACATCGTCGCCAGGGTGAGATTTCAGTGAGACTGGAGAGAAGTGAGAGCGTCAGTGGTATCTTCGTTTACGGCTTTGGTCTGGTCGTCAACACTCTTCATGCCGGGGATCACGTTCAACTTATTTATCATGTTCTCGGCGGGTTGTGAGGAATTTTCATGCACAAATACTCAGGGAAAATTAACTATTGCTGGTATACTGTTATATATAAACATCGTTTCATAATGCTCGTGATTTCTTGGGCAAACCTTTCCATGACTTCATTCTTGTTCAAGAATTGATTGTGGAAATATTAACGGTTCAAACTCAAATGAGGACTAAAACAAGCTCTCGTTGTGAGTATGAATGCCGTCTGCTACAGCCAGGTTGCAAAGGGCCTGGCTAAGCTTTCGATGTACAGTATTCGAGTTCTAATTGAGTTATGGCTACTTTTATTCCGCTGATCACGTTCGTGGTTTGTCTCGGAGTACTCCCACATATTAAAGGATAGTATGGTATTATATTACCCGTTCAAACCCGTCGTTTGTCGGGAAAGAATTTGCCTACACTAAATTGAAATGACCGATATCATACACGCCTAGCAGTAGCAGGTTCAGCAACTTTCATAGGTGACAACTTGGGATGCCGACCCCTGGTTTACACGTACGGCATCAACTATTTAAACAGGATTGTAAGTGACGCCTTTTAAGTTACTTATAATCGTCACATGCTGTAATATCTATCACGTTATTTTACAACACTTTCATTGGCATCGCAGTCAAGGACCTGGAAACGTTCTTTTGCGTATAATGGATTAGTTAGTAGGCCGTGCGAGAAGAATTCTTATCCATTAAAAAAAAAAACAGTATTTTAAAACTTCTTATGAAGAGCCTTGTGTCTAGAGATCCGTAAAACAGCATATAAAATTAGATTTTTATTTCTGCTGCAAACGGTTCAATAAATAAAATATTACTCACCTAAAGACACTCTTCCTATAACATGTCCATATTTTACCTCGAAAAAAATACCAAAAGCAAATACCAAAATACCCGTTACAGCGAATATAAAGCATAGTGATGTAAAAATTCGCGTGAGAAAGCGCTCCATGATGCAATTCTAAACATTAGCTTTTTTTAATAAAACGACTAAGAACTACAGCACTCGGAAAAAAAATATATAATTTAAATGCTATTGTTTCATCACAAAGCCCTTAACATTTTATTTTATTTTGCTGTTGTTAAGGCAAATTGAGAGAAAAGAATGCAACAATCGATAAAATTCAATGGACATTCAGAATTCTCTGATGTCTCATAGTTATGTAATATCATACCTTCCAATTTTCCAAAACACATTACATAAAAATTATTTCAATTAATTTATTATGTCTCAAAGTTGGAAAAGATGAACATTCTTATTTGTAGTAATAAAATATACACAATACAATACGGCAGAATAGTCATATCTAACAAAAATAATTTGAAAAAATAATTCAAGCAACGTTCACTGAAAATCTACATCAAGTAAGACAATATTCGTGCTTTTACCGGATCTGAATCGCTCCGCCTGGGCAGAATATAACTCCCGAAATGGAAACGAATTACAATCTCGAAAAATATGTGGCTTATCGTGACAGACATGATCAATTAGTCAATGATATCGGTTAGTAAGTTTACACCCCTTTTATAATACCAAATGGTTTGACGAAGAATCCAAGAGAAGTTTATTTATGGGATGAACAATATGTTCAAAAAATGAGCTTATCGGCACGCGAATTAGAAGTTATTTGGCTTTCGCTGCTAATTTATTAGCAACACTGTAGTGGGTAGCATTGACAGTCAATACACCAAATGTTGAGCCATGTCGAAACTTGTAGCTTGGAACGTAGCCTAGGTATTTCGGTACCATTCCTTCGTGCCTGTGATATATGACGCCATCTTTGCGAGTTAGCCGACGATCTTGTGCAAAAGAATTCGGGCGTTCCCGAGACGACTCTTTGGTTTGTGGTCTATCATTGGGCCAGGCATACCAGTAACTTGCACCGTATAATGTTTGAGGATAACCCTCAGGATGCTTTGATGCAATTATGACAGGTTGCTTAATTGGAGGAACGGATATATCGGAAAGTCTTGAAGACGATTTTGGAGTTTCTCGATCCAGCTTTACTTCTTGTATCGCTTTAGACCTCGTTGCAGAGTATGCCGTTCTTGGGCGTAATGATTCTTTTTTTAGCATATCTGAACTTCCCGATGCTAGCATTGATATATGTGATGGATGTGGACTAGGTTGCCTGTTATCGTGTGGTCGACCTTCTCTAGATATCGCTGCTGGAGCTGACCTTACTCGATTCGAGGACGTAGGAGATTTAGGTGTTTTAGGATGTTCTGATTTATTCGAACCCTGTTGGCTTAGTGTATCTTCATCTTCAGGGCGGTAAAACCGGCTAGATTTTGATTTGTACCCTGTAGCTGTTGTGGGCTTCATTGGGCTACTTACACATCGCACTAGAGACCTGACTACTTGAAGTTCGTGGAGACTGTTTCTGTAGTAAGGCACATGTCCACCATACCCATTTATCGGGTCTGGATTTGGCGTCGACTTGATAGGTTCGTCACCATATTTCTTTATATATTTCTCATGCTGTTCTCTCAAAAATTTCGTGTAATCAAAATTCAGTCCCGGCATTTTTGAAGCGAAGTTAAGTTATTGGACTGACAGATTTACAAATTAAACTAAAATTGTATATAGTACTATTTCCGCCTCACTCTTTACCGTTGTGTTCAAGCAGCGGATATATATTATCTGTTTTCTCTGTCAACTCAAAGAAGTCTGCCAGTATCTAAGCTACCGACACAGCTTTTGAATTAACAAAACAAGGTGAAATTAGTAACATATTTCAGACGTTGTAGTAGTATACTTGAGTACTTAGGAGCCAATATTTACGTTAGAGCTGTTGTTGGATCGTACAATGATGTCAAGCTGAATTTATTCCGTGTACTGATTTCGCAAAAACAGATTTTGATCGTCAAAGCGAAATAAGAAGAATTACAGCTAAAAAGTAGTTAATTTTCTTTTTATATTAACATGATACGGCCCACCGATGATGTCCCTGCGTAAGAGACAATTGAACAATAGGCATTTTGTGTTATTGATAGAATCAAATTTCCGTCTCGTAATGTAGCTTTGGAAATCTACATTGTTTAGAAATGTTTACATAATCAAACGAATAGAAGAGTCGATGAAAGTTGTATCTATATATCCATGCTTATTTATAGTTCTGTTCTATCGCAAAGAGGTCATCTAATGTCATGGTTTCGCAGATTCAAAATGGTAAATATTCCGTCAGTAATAGTTCACGCCACCAAGTGTTTCAAGTCATTAAATAGTTGTTCGCCGCGGAGCGTTTTGGTCTTGAAGCGCCAATTTTCAATTACATATGTATCATTCTGTCCGTTTTTTCTTGCCCAACGCTGAAATATCTGAGTCTCATCTAACCAATATCTGAAGACATTCCTTTGAAAGAAAGTAAAGCTTATTTCATTATACCTAAATTATGGTTGTACTTAAAGGTGGGTTATCACGGAAAAGGCTTCGAAGAACTGATTTTATAGTCAGTTTTTACCACCTAATTTCGTTTCCCGTCTGTTTGATGTAATATTTATTCGAAGTAGGATGCTATCAAGTCATACTGTTATATAAACAAACATTTGACTGGCGTAATTCATGCATTCCATGTTTTCATTAGCCATAGAATACGGTTCCGATAAACTGTTGAATATTTGAATACTGGAGTGTAGGGAAAGGATGAGTATCTGCAAATAACGAGGAGAACAATATGCACAATATAAATGTTATATATTAGATAATGATTTAACTTCAATATAATGTGAAGATTTTGCAACGCTGGAGTTCGGTAACACGTGGTATAAATTGCAGCTTGATCGGCTGAGCATTACAAATTGGTAAATTTACTAAGAGAGTGATATCGGGTTAAAGTACAATCCCAGTGATGGTGGCTTGATGAAGCAGCATTCCAAATTTAATTTGTATACGATATGTTCTCCAGTTCTGGTATTGACAACACAATCCAGCTGTCACCATTTCGAACTGATCATTGTTGCTGAGGTATGATTAAAACGAAGATGACAAATAGAAATTCGCGAGGAAACATTTATGGACATGAATGAATTAGATATGATGAAAACTTGTATTTGTTTGGTGAAATATATACCACAAAATGATACAAAAAAAAAATAAAACCTTGATCTGATAAACTGCGTCAGGCATTGTTGTTTTGGGCTGTGGAGCCCACTTGATTTTTAGGCTGAAACGGTCGCTTAAAATGTATTTATTCTTTGAGTTCCATGGAGACATCAGGACGGGTTATTTAAGCAAATTTGATCCATAGTTTTCCTCCTGTTTCATGCTCAGGGAATTCATATATATATAGGGCCAGACCGTCCGTCATTGCTAATTAGGCAGGGACTACCAAGTACACATCTGCTTGCTAATCATTGAAATACCACAGCACATATATATGCTAATTTTAGTATAGTCTATACTCTATATATATCGACTATATAACAAAACGACTGTTTACAGAAGCATAAAAGCAAACTAAACCCACATGAAATATCAAATCTAGATGACTCGAGGCAAAAAAATGTAGCCTAGTGCGTTATTTAACTTGAAAATATGTTACAGCAATAGATTAGACACAGACATCGAATATATTTTAATCTCGATTTGTTATGTTTACTTTGATTTCTAATAATTCAACAATATCATTTGAAGATATTGGTATGTATTTAAACCACTGCATTGTTTGCCAAATGCACCGCCCAATAGAACTAGCATACCGTTCAAAATTAGCACATATAACGCTATAATTGCTCTTAACCTAATGAAAAATTACGCCGGCGATTTATCAGTACTACGTCGATGTTCTGAATGCTAACATAACGATCGACAGCATCTTATGGTGTATTGCATCAAACGATTATAAATCAACCGAACGTGGAGGATTCTCATATGGATACGACTACAATATCAGAAGGAGAAGTTATACGAAGCTTCCCATTCACTTCATCGGAACAGCAAACAACTGATGACACAATTGTTGAGGATTTTCCGAGGGTGACTGCATACACTGATTACAAAAGCTACATAATATACACAGTTTATCTTGACGAAGATATTGAAGGAGGCTCTAAAGGTGTTTGGGTAGAAATGAGCAATCGACATTCGACCGCAGAAAATTTGTTGCGAGTCTTCAACATAATGATCGAAATTGGGAATGAATGGAGTGCTGTAAAATTATATTAAACTGAAGAATACATTCATGTTTAATAATAATCTATCAAACATATTCATTATCTGTATTGTTAAAATATATTCAAGTCATATATTCAGCGCTTATCTTTTTCAGGTAGTTTGAAACTCGATATATATTATACATTTATTTAAGCATGATGAAACAGACTATACGGACTATGCGATCATCTTGGCCATACTGTTCATAAAAAATCAACTTCTGTTCAACATTTGTATTCGTTGCCTCATTTAATCGCCGAAGAAATTTGTTTATGATATATTCCTCATCGGCTGGGTCATACGAATTATGGAAAATAACGGCATTAGCATCTTCAACAGGGTTGACTAACGCTGATGGCATTATATAATTTTGAAAATGATTGAAAACGAATTGAAATGTTCTAAAGATTTTAACCGCCAACAATATTTCTTCCCTGAACAATTTTGGGGCAAACAATTACAACGTAGATTAAGTTGTATTCGCCCTTTTCCAGAAAATGCTCAAACACAATACAACACAGCCCGGAGTTTTTAACTGTTTTTCTGACCCGTTGCTTATAATTATAAGATTATAATTTGAAACAGGAGAAATTTTCATTTTTTTTTTCTGTTTTTGATTATTTTTCAAATTGAAACTCAATTAAAACTAAAAATGATTCATAATAGATGTGATTGATAGTGTATAGCAAATAATGACAAAAAAATAAATTTTTTAATGTTGTTGGTCTGTGGATGAATTTCACATTCTGAAGTTTGCAGATAACCCTTGCTAAGCATAAAGCCCTGAAGAATTCTGAAATAACAAAATATATATGAGGTAAAAAAGGGGCGGGAGGCAAGTATCTATTAGAAACAAAAAACATTATAGTACGTTATAGTTTTATCAAGAATTATATAAGAAAATAAGCAACTTCTACTTGACTTACAAAGGCTCTTGTCACAAGTAATGACAAAATGGAAAAAAGTGTTGAAATTCATTATGCAGATCTATGTACAGGGTAAATAACCCTTTTGCGAATTTGCTTAATTAATTGTCAAAGACTTATCTAACGTTCTAAAATTAAATTATTCGGCCAAATTGTGTAAGAAAAGAATTGAGAAAGCCTTGGGTTATTATATTCCGCGAAAAAGCTGGAAATTCAATGCTCGCATCTAGTCAATGAGCCTGGTCATATAGTTACGCGGTTTGGAAATCATAATATACTTCGCCGTACAGACTGCAGGCATTATACGATATTAAAAGTTTGGTAATCACTGTTCCGGTTGCTTATGGATTTTCTAATTATTCAAGACTTCGCATTAGGAACGAATAACCTGGGAACTATCTTTTTTATATTGATCCGGATTGGCGACTTAAATTAAACTTGGCCAGTTAATTGATTCAGCTATTCAGACACATCAAAGGAAAGGAATATTTTTCGAATTGCGACACATGAACAAAGAGGAGAAATTGAGGAATGTCAAACTTCTATAAATAAATGTGTTTCTAGATTTGATTTCACCTTGTGATAATATTTTTCACTATACGCCAGCGCTCTTTCCATATAATTATTCCTTGATTAAGTTTGACTGCATAGAAACGTCACATTTTTACATTTTGCTAACACCAAATTAGAAAAGCGCGAACAGACTTACTCAACGTATGAGTCGCTCGCTAAACGGAGTCTAGTAAAATTTACTACATTGTATGCTTTGAAAAAGTCGATTTTCTGCGGTCTTCATTTCGCTTTGCACTTTTACACAAATGCACTTTGCACTCATACACAAATCATATTGCCTACACTGTAGGCCCTACAGCATAGGTTCTCAAAGAGCTCCGTACGGAGCCCCAGGGCTCCGCGAGAGAAACCCAGGGGCTCCGCGAGGTATTCGATTACTCTTCAAAATACTGACTCAAAATTTTGTAACTGTTCAAAGAAGCAATAACAGCTTTGATAAAATCTGACAACAATATTGCCTCGAAATCTGGCAAAGAGGCGGAATTAAAAAAATGACATTATTTATAAGCAGGAGCGCAGCCAGGACTCTTAGGAGGGAGGTGGTTCAAAATTGGGATTGGAAATTTCCGCGCAACATTCTTCGCGATTAAAAAAACGGATAACGAGATTTCTGTTGCGTAAAATATTCAATCCATGGCCGATGCGAGCATTTAACGTGTCTCTTCGTTATAATGTAATTGTGCTCATCGTTACTCACGTTTGATTCGAGATTACTATTAGGATTACTAAAATGAAAGAATACTATTCTAAAATAACATAAAATATATGATAAACTGCCAACTAGAAATAAATTGGAGTCGTATTTTTGCGATCTTGGGATTTGTCAAACTTGATTTGTTCTTTCGCACACTCACAATGTCTGGGCAAAATACAAACAATTGAATATTATTTTATTGCATTAGGCTCCGTCGGTAGTTTCAGAATGAAAAAAGGTACATAGCGGATCGCGCGCACAATTGATTGCGTGTGGGTCCGTCGGTAGTTTC